ATTGAAACAGAGGACGGTTTAAAGACTTCATAAACTTAAAGTGAATTTCGGTGTAAAAACCGAATGATTATGCAGCCTTGGTCTGGTCTGTCCACCTTAGGAATTGGGTATGAGGGTCCTAGGTTTCGTTAATTGACCTCTTCAAGAGTAATCATTTGTAGACCGCTTACCACCATGGTGAAACTCACAAACCACAACAGGTAATGCAAGAGACAGAGCAAGCATGACAATTAGGAAATCTCAGGATTTGAAGTACGGTACCTACCAGATGATCTTGGCATGGTTATGATAATACAGCACCTCGGAACACTAAGCCACCTCTCTTCTCAGCAGAAAATGTCAACTACAGGATTTATTTAGACCTGCTCAGAAGCTGATATACGGCCCCAAGTGGGCAAGCAAATGTGATAAAAATTCCCAAATTGAAATTAAAATTTCCCAATGTTAATACATATTATAACACATTTTATGGCTTAGTAGGGGTAACCCGTATTTCAGGACCAGTAAAGAAAGGGTTTTAAAGCTTAATTTTATATTATTGCATTGAATGCAATCTCAAAATATAATGTAAACATTTCTCTGAATTTAAGAAAATAAGAACTGAAAAACATCCCTATTTTGAACAAAATAACCATTTCTTCCCAATATGCCTACAAGGCACACTCAGTTTTATCTTCCAGAGTCACGGGAGTTTACTGACTGTAAAAGTCGGGTTTCCACCCTTGCCCAGCTAGGCTGGAATTTTCTGGGCTTGATTGTCGCGCCACCAGTGGCTATTATGAGTTATGGCCATTCAATGTCCCGCCTACTGACCAATCATATTCCACCTCTTATATCACTTACATTTGCTTTAAGCAAAATGGCGATGCCCAGAAAAGACGATTTGATCAAGAGCCTAGATCTTTCTTGAAATAAAATGGGCCTTACTTCGCAAAGTGCATCAAATCACGTGAGCACCTTGATTGGATAAAATCTGTTGAAGCTAAGTTCACGGTACAGATGTTTTGCAAATCCTGCAGTAGACCAAACGAACCGAATGTCGTTTTGTTATGCGACTTTGATTGGACTATGCATAGACTCGTTAGTCCATACAAAATATAGCTACATAATTCAAACCTAGTTTGGCAAGGGTGTAAACTGGACCTTTTAGTCAGTTAACTCCCTTGCCTCAGGAAGACGACTCAGTTTACAATCTTTGATAAACACCTGCACGAAATATATGGAGGGCCTGTCTTCATCTTCTGAATAGTATATGAGAACCTGAGCACCCTGCTTCAATATGTGCCCACTACAGGAGTACTATGTGTGATAAAGATATTTACTACCAGTAGTAATAAACCGTATATATCACTGAAGTATTGAGTACCTAAACCTAACTAGATGACCCATGCTGTACATGCAGCCTTCGAAATTCATGCTATTCCACTAGCCTGAGACTACTAAATTCTTCTGAGGATAAGTAAAATTCCATGATGGTGGTGAGTGAGTATGGTTTTACGCTGCTTTTAACAATATTCCAGCAATATCATGGCATGGGACACCAGAAATGGGCTTCACACATTGTACCCATGTCGGGTCTTTGGCGTGATGAGTGAATGCTTTAACCACTAGACTACCCAACCGCCCCCCCCCCTTCACCCCATGATGGTAGACCTCATGGACTAGTAGCATTTGAATCTATAATTGTAACTAAATAAAACTGACAGAAAATGTAAACATGAACACTTCTGTCTCAAGCAGGACTAGCTACAAACTCTTTACACTAGTCCTCTGGACTTGTCTTAAAAATTAACAAATTTCCAAGGCTGCACACTAAAGTAAATGTACGGAGCATGTATGACAACAATGCTAGATTAGACCGTCAAATACATCATACATGTGCTGGCAAATTATTCACAGCCGTGTTTATGTACATAAATGCACACACATCGTGACACAATATACTGGGAACAGCAGGCAACTGGATATTGAGCAAGCAAGCATTGCATCAATGCCTGTTTAAATAGTTCAAGCTGAATGGCCTCATTTGCATATTTATTAGATCATGGAACAAGTGTATTTGGCATTAGATACTACATCAGAGCTGTTCTCTTGCCATGTGTCGGTTGCAGCAGAGACCATATCATATGGTCTCTGGTTGTAGTGATCTAGGAGATGAAAAGCCAAGGCTTGTACAGAAGACTTAAATATTGACAAGAAACACTGACCCACTTAACTCTAAAATGATAGCAACTCATTTTAATACAATGAGTGAGTATATTTTTACACAGCTTTTAGCAATATTCCAGCAATATCACTGCGGGGGGCACCAGAAATGGGCTTCACACAATTTACCTATGTGGGGAATCGAACCTCGGTCCTGCGGCATGAAAAGCGAATGCTTTAACTACAGGGCTACCCCACCGCCCCCATAATACTATGAACATTAGTTGGAAATGTGTTCAGGTTGTGCAGTAGACAGACATCAGATTGTGGTTACAAAAACAGCAGTTACATAGGCATAATATTGATGAATAATGCAATAGAGTTTAATGACAATAAACATGATTCTTTTTTATGCTGATGTTTGTCATGATCATGATGAAAATGTTAATACTTATCCAACATTGCCCTTAGAAAATATTCATTGTCAGGTCACAATACTGGGGTCACCATTTTTGATGAACAAATTACTTGCTTACTTTTCAAATTCATGTAATTTCAAGCTGTGATTCAATACTGATTCAATCTCATTAAAATCAGATCTTAGTTCTCCCTATCGCTAAACAAAGATCTGAGGACATCCCATTACTGGTCCTGTCAGACCGACCTTGTGCGAACTTTGACCGACCAATGGAATGACCAATCAGACGACAGCTTTCTTGTGCTTTAAGGCACTAATTTCAAATTGGCGACTACGCTACGAAACATATTTTGACAAATTCTCGTTTACAAATTTGAAACCTGAACAAAAGAACATTCTGGAACGGCTAATATATGGTCTAGATTGTATAGATTGTCGTTAAACCCGTAACTACTGTTCGGAATAACCCGTGTTAAAATCTTCGAAGTTGCATGATTATAAATCACTTTCATAATCTAGTAAGCGACCCTCTGATTGGTCGGATGAAAGGTCGTTCTGACGTGACCCCTAATGGGATGTCCTCAGATCTTTGTTTAGCGATCTTAATGAGATTGATACTGATTTCAGTGTTAATAAACATCATATTCACCTGACAACAAACCAAGTCAGCTATCTTAAATAATTCAATATTGTTGATTTCCCTATCAGTCAGCAAAGTTTCAGCTATATCACAGAGGCACGTGAATACTTCTGGGCCTGACCAGTGTTTGATAGCATGAACCATGCCACTGGTCATCAGGGCGGAGTGACATGTAATCAGGCCGGCCGGCCACTCAGGTGACCACCAAATCCTCATTAGTCATTATAAACCTGAAACTGCTGACAACAGAAACATTATGCAACACTGCTTATAAGGTAACTTCTTAGATGCTTCATTAAAGTGAGTGAGTGAGTGAGTTGGGCTTAACGCCACTTTTAACAGTATTCCAGTCATATCACGGTGTGTCAGCTTAATGTGGGAGGAAAGCCTGAAGTGATGTAGGTCTCAGACGTTTACCACTTCGGTGAAACCCACGGGCACGGGTATGGTGCTGACAAACCTAGAAACATAATCGAACCCACGATCATAGGTTTCTGGCGTGCCCAAGGGACGCAACTCTGCACAGCGTATCACGGCGCCTTAGACGACTGGGCCACCCGTGCCCCCCTGCTTCATGAAAACATCGAAGGAGCCGACAGTATCCTGCGATAAAGTACATTTTTTTAGCTACAGCTTAATGGGTTGATGTCATGACGCCGTTGAAATTACCTACGTGATCTAAAATATCCTTAGTAACATTTTTCTAGCATTTCTGTTGATGAAGCTGGAGTTTCTTCATCAATATTATGGACTAGTGAAATAGTTGCTGACTATGAGTCTGATAACACATGCTGAATCATCATAATCATGATAAGGAAAGACAGCCACGGATGTATACAAATGTTTGGTTCTATGGCATCACTGGTATGGCGGACTCGATTGGCAACAAGTCATTATTCATGAATTATAATATTCAATTTCGAGAGCGGAAATCAGATTATTTCAGGGGAGTGAGTGAGTTTTGATTAATGCTGCTTTGAACAGTATTCCAGTTACAGCACGGCGTGTCAGCTTGTCGTAGGACGAAAGCCGAGTTGATGCAGGTCTTAGAGGTCTACCACTTTGGTGAAACCCACGAGCATGGGTATGGTGCTGACAAACCTAGAAACATGATCGGGGTGAACCCGAATTAGAACCCAAGGTCATAGGTTTCCAGTGTGCCCAAGGGACGCAACTCTGCACAACGAATTGAGGTACTAAGCCGACTGGGCCACCCGTGTCCCCGAAGTGATGCGGGTATTGTACCTGATTATTTCAGAAAACGTTTGACAAATTTATGCATTCCTTCAAATATATTGTCATAGGGCCATATATTTATTTCACAAGATAGTTTGACAGTGAAAAGGCATTATAAATTAGTTTTAAATCTCAATTCAAACCTCTTCAGAACGCTGTGTGCCCTTGCTTCATCTTTCTCTAAAAAGCCAACTTACAAGCATCAATCTCATTAAATCAGATCTTAGTTTTCGCTACAGCTACACAAAGATCTGAGGACATCCCATTACGGGTCATGTCAGAACGACCTTTCGCGAATTTTGACCAACCAATGAAATGACTGACAAGAATTCGACATTAGCCAATCAGAAGGCAGCTTTCTCAAGCTTTAAGACACTAGTTTCAAACTGGCGACTACTCTTCGAAACATATTTTGACGTATTCTCGATTAAAAAAATTAAAACTGATAAGAAGAACATTCTAGAATGGCTTATAGATGGCCTAGATTGTATGGATATAATCATAAAACTGTCGTTCGGAATATCCCGTGTTAAATATTACGTGGTTGCATGATTAGAACGCTCTGAATGGTTGGATGAAAGGTCGTTCTGACATGACCCTTAATTGGATGTCCTCAGATCTTTGTTTAGCATAGCAAGAATTAAGATCTGATTTTAATGAGATTGTACAAGCATTGATGTTTTATCAACAAATAACAAGTCTTCATCTTGAACGCGCACTACCCACTGGCATCTCACACACCAGGTCCCTGCCTTGTAGACAAACATCCTTGACATCCACCATTCTTCAACGACTGTAATATGCAGTTTATAGTCTGTGTGCACCTCTGGCTATTATGATTGTGTTGTATTTCGTCATGGTATCATTTCCAGTTGTTCCGAGCTTCTATATCCACCTTCTTGGGCACGAGGGAGCTGAAGAGTTTCCCCGTCACGGGGCACACATATTTGTTCTTGGCACAGTGCACGTGAGTCACAACTCCATTGGGGTATCTAACAAACATTGGCTCGCTGAACGCACGGTTACATACAGCACACATTCTGAAAATTCAAAGGTTGTTTACAGTAAACATTCATATTTGCCATTAGGGATTCTTGTAGCATGTCAACTGAATTTCTTTATTTTCTCATAAAATCTTTACTCTTAAAGAAGTTAAAGAACACCCGACTCTTTCATATAACTAATTATCTGCATGACAGATTGACTGTTGTAATATGTGCAAGTGAGTTGGGTTGGACGCCGCTTTGAACAGTATTCCAGTTACATCACAGGGTGTCAGCCTAATGTGGGAGGAAAGCCAGAAGCGATGCAGATCTTTGATGTTTACCACTTTGGTGAAACCAATGAACACAGGTATGGTGCTGACAAACCTAGAAACACAATCGGGGGAACCAGGAACCAAATCCATGATCATAGGTTTCTGGTGTGACCAAGGGACGCAACTCTGCACAGCAAATTGACATGTATGAGAAGACTTGGGTCCCTGTGCCCCCTAGTAATATGAAAGAATCGGGTGTCCTTTAACTTCTTCGGGTAGCAATAAGGGGGATAACTCTACCTTACAAGAATCCTTCTGATACACATGACACTGAGAGACAGATTATCTATTGATTGACAAGTGTTGGTGTCAGAAGCAAAGACTAGTAAAGGGAGATAACTTAGGCTGTACTTGACATAAACAAACATCACAAGCATCACATGAGCGTGGTTTGTAGATGATCCCATGATTTTGTTGGAATAGGTTAGATTCTGGAACCTGAAGTAGCTGAAGTATGTTACTTTTTCATCTATCACTATGTATATTGGTTACATGTAACATGGATTAAATAACAAATAAAATAGAGGAACTTATTCAGAGATATAAAAAAAATAACTAAATCTGTTATTGACTTATAAGACGTGTTATCCATCGAAAGAAATTTCAAGTACACTTAATGGATTATCATTATTATAACAATTATACATAAACCATGGTAAATATACATATCTTGTAGAGATAATAAAATATGGCTATGTTTTAAACAAAACCATTAAAATTAATAATATACAAAATATTTGCAGCAATGGCACATTTTCAATGTGAATAGAAAAAACACTCATCTCCTCAGGTATAAACAAAACAAAAAGATTATTAGATAAGTATGGAAGAATATTTTTTATATTACTCATTCATGACTATGTCAGTTATTTTGTGTGGATGGTAGATGGTGGATTGGTGATGAAACAAATGATGAATATATTGTGTGAATGTTATGAGTACTGACCTATCATCATTCATTATAACAGGATCTCTCTGTAACTCTATACAGATTTGTTTAACTGCCAGGTTCTCCCCTCTTGCCATCATCCGCTCGATGTGGGTCGTCCGACTACAGTGCATACTCTTCCGCACCGTCCGTGTCAGAAACTGGGACAGAAGACCTACTGACCAGTGGTCAGGCAGCAAGTGTAAAACCTGCACATACAGAGAACACACATCAACATGGAGTCATCAGTGTCAGACAGAGTAAAACCTGCACATACAGAGAACACACATCAACATGGAGTCATCAGTGTCAGACAAAGTAAAACCTGCACATACAGTAAACACACATCAACATGGAGTCATCAGTGTCAGACAGAGTAAAACCTGCACATACAAAGAACACACATCAATATGGAGTCATCAGTGTCAGACAGAGTAAAACCTGCACATACAGAGAACACACATCAATATGGAGTCATCAGTGTCAGACAGAGTAAAACCTGCACATACAGTAAACACACATCAACATGGAGTCATCAGTGTCAGACAGAGTAAAACCTGCACATACAGAGAACACACATCAACATGGAGTCATCAGTGTCAGACAGAGTAAAACCTGCACATAAAAACAACACACATCAACATGGAGTCATCAGTGTCAGACAGTGTAAAACCTGCACATACAGTAAACACACATCAACATGGAATTAATAAGGAGTAAGTGAGACACTTTACCTTGTTTGTATCAAAATCTGCAACATTACTGTTCAACAGAGCCATGGCAGGTGCCACCAGAGTGTCCTTTCGCCTGCAACAGTTACATCACTGTATCACAGAGGAGAGAGGGGTATAGGTGGTGAACCACATTTTATACTGACAACACACTTCAGCTTCAGCTTCAGCCACAAAACCAGATATTTTTTTATTTAAACTCATCTTCACCCTTGCCGAACTAGACTGCAATTATGGAGTTATATTTTGACTTGACTAACAAGTCTATGCATAGTCCAATCAAAATTGTGCAACAAAATCGACATCTGGTTCATAAACTATCGTGCAGACTTTGGTCAATTGCAGGATTTGCAAAACAACTGTACCGTCAACTTAGGGTCACCAGATCTTATCCAATCAAGGTGCTCCGTGATTCGATACATGACAAGCTGTATTGAATCGTGAACACCTCCCTTACGTAACTATTTGAAAGCTATTTTCACAAAATGTGGACTCACTCATAGCTTGGGTCTAGGTAGACACTGAGCAGTATATGGAAGAGTCGCTTGCGGTATGATGGCTCCTTGCCATCACTGTTTACAAGGCAGTAGTTCTCGGCAGCTCCAAAGTCCTTCAACTTGTGAACGAGGATCCTGAGCGCCTTGTCGTGTTCTTCCAGCTGCAGCAGCAGAAAATCCAACCATCAGATTCTGTCATGGACAACTCCTCATCACACTGTCTTGTATTTATGTTCACACGACGCTTAAATCTTTGTTTGACCATGTTTACTGAATGATCAATACACTTCTTACTCTTATCTCACCAAAAAGTTACATCTGCCATTTTATTGTTTGTTTGTTTTTTGTTTAACACCACACTCATCATATTCCAGCTATATAATGACAACTGTTTTGTAAATATTTGAGGCTGGACCAGACGATCCAGTGATTGACATCATGAGCATCAATCTACATTGATCTACACAATTGGGATCGATGACATGCATCAACAAAGTCAACAAAGTCAACAAGTCTGACCACCTGATCCTGCCAGTCGCCTCTTATGACAAGCATGGTTTCCTGAAGATCAATTCTAACCCAGATATTCACGGGTGCCATTTTATGTCTGGTATGGCCTCAAAGATAAAAATACCACTGCATTTCCTCATATCCATACTGAATACAGTACCTTCCCATACAGTATTGCACATTCAGCATGCATGTCCGTCTCCTTCGCCTTGCCGAGGATCAGCTGCACCCGGTAGAGGTTGGAGATCTGCAGCATCTGGCGTAACTTGGACCTAGATGCATAGAAACATCACATGGAATTTTTGTCATTAAAGACATTGGTCACACTATTTTATTTTATTGTTTACAGATTTTATTCCACATTCCAACGTTCGGTAGCGTTCGCTCGTCACGCCGAAGACCCAGGTTCAATTCCCGACATGGGTACAATGTGTGAAGCCCATTTCTGGTGTCCCCAGCCGTGATATTGCTGGAATATTGCTAAAAGCGGCGTAAAACAATACTCACTCGCTCACTCACCTCAACAAAATGCCTGGGTAAGTCAAAATAAACTTGGGATCTTCAATCACTAAGCTTCACGCAGATCATTCACACTCAACAAGCTATGTATCTGAATGACTCATACTGCACTGAAAGGTCACCCGAATAATCACCATCCTATCCACACATTCTATTTCACAGATCCCCAGCAGCTAGCTAAACTGCTATACTTCCGCAATTCAATCCCTGGTCGGTGATTCAGTCCCTGGCCTCATCATAGCAAAAGATGTTAAAAGATGGTACTTGTAATTACCTTCCTGCTGCTTGGCATGAGGGGGTAAAACAAGAACTGGTGTAATGTGTCTGAGTGGGGTTTTCATGTTTAAACCATGGCATGGCATCTCAGTGGGAAGCACTACAAAAATGGCATTAGTCTGGACTAATACATGCATCACATGGATGACACACAGAGGTGCAAGCACGTCACTAAAGTTGGTTGGTTGGTTTGTTGTTTAACACCGCACTCAGCAACATTCCAGCTATATGATGGCAGTCTGTAAATAATCAAGTCTGGACCAGACAATCCAGTGATTGACATAATGAGCATCGATCCACGCAATTGGGATCGATTACATGCATCAACCAAGTCAGCGAGCCTGACCACCCTATCCCGTTAGTCGCCTCTTACGACAAGCATAGTCGCCTTTTACGGCAAGCATGGGTAGCTGAAGACCTATTTTAACCCGGATCTTCACGGGTCACGTCACTAAAGAAATGCAACAATCTTGATAGCTCTGTTAAACCCCATTTCAGCCGACCTACCTCGCTATATCTACCTCCTCCTTCTTGACATTATTTGTCTTCATGAGGCTGAGCACAGCATCCAGGTACAACACTGCCAGGTGGGTGTGGTACTTCTCCTTCTGCAACAGGCAACATACAGTCATCACCATCGTGCCCGAAGGGTGGGCTATGATGAACCTGGATGATACAGATTGCTGCAGGATGTGAATACAAAGGACTGTCGAGTCACTGCAATAGGATTAAAGTGTTCACTCACCTCCAGCTTCTTCTGAAAGACGAGGTATTCTAAGTACGTGATGACCGCGGAGGGGAAGCGGTGCAGGTAGTCTATCACTGTGTCTGGTCTCAGTCTCTCTGTCTGCAGCTCTCCAGCTGGCCTCTCAGTAAATATCTGCAACAACAGCATGTCTTAGCATCAACAACAGTGTGTATTAGCATAAACAACATCATGTCTTAACATAAACAACAGTGTGTCTTAGCTTCAACAACAGTGTGTCTTAGCATAAACAACAGCATGTCTTAGCATCAACAGTGTGTCTTAGCATCAACAGCATGTCTTAGCATTAATAGTGTGTCTTAGCATGAACAACAGCATGTCTTAGCATCAACAGTGTGTCAAAGCATGAACAACAGCATGTCTTAGCATAAACAACAGCATGTCTTAGCATCAACAGTGTGTCAAAGCATCAAGAGCATGTCTTAGCATCAACAGCATGTCTTAGCATAAACAACAGTGTCTTAGCTCCAACAACAGCATGTCTTAGCATCAACAACAGCATGTCTTAGCATCAACAACAGTGTGTCTTAGCATGAACAGAATGTCTTAGCATGAACAGCATGTCTTAGCATCAACAGTGTGTCTAAGCATGAACAACAGTGTCTTAGCTCCAACAACAGCATGTCTTAGCATCAACAACAGCATGTCTTACCATGAACAACAGTGTGTCTTAGCATGAACAGAATGTCTTAGCATGAACAGCATGTCTTAGCATCAACAGTGTGTCTAAGCATGAACAGCAGTCTTAGCATCAACAGTGTCTTAGCATAAACAACAGCATGTCTTAGCATCAACAACAGTGTGTCTTAGCATGAACAACAGCATGTCTTAGCATGAACAACAGTGTGTCTTAGCATAATCAACGGCATGTCTTAGCATCAACAGTGTGTCTTAGCATCATCAACAGTGTGTCTTAGCATAAACAACAGAATGTCTTAGCATGAACAACAGCATGTCTTAGCATCAACAGTGTCTTAGCATAAACAACAGCATGTCTTAGCATCAACAACAGTGTGTCTTAGCATGAACAACAGCATGTCTTAGCATGAACAACAGTGTGTCTTAGCATAATCAACGGCATGTCTTAGCATCAACAGTGTGTCTTAGCATCATCAACAGTGTGTCTTAGCATGAACAACAGCATGTCTAAGCATAAACAACAGCACGTCCTAGCATGAACAACAGCATGTCCTAGCATAAACAACAGCATGTCCTAGCATGAACAACAGCATGTCCTAGCATAAACAACAGCATGTCCTGGCATGAACAACAGCATGTCCTAGCATAAACAACAGCATGTCCTAGCATAAACAACAGCATGTCCTAGCATAAACAACAGCATGTCCTAGCATAAACAACAGCATGTCCTAGCATAAACAGCATGTCTTAGCATCAACAGTGTGTCTTAGCATCATCAACAGTGTGTCTTAGCATAGACAACAGCATGTCTTAGCATCATCAACAGTGTGTCTAAGCATAAAAAAACAGCACTATAAAGTGCCAAACGTTTCTGCGGGTGATATGGTCCTTACCCTGACTCCCTGATCTTGATCCTTTTCCAGGGCCCAGTCCACATACTTCCACACAATCTCATGGTCACTCAGGCTGCAACACAAAGACAATAGTTATACAAGCCATGGTTCAGGTGTCAGGTTAATTGGGGTGAAACGATACAGCAAGACAATGATCTGAAATAATGCCAGCTTGGGCCAGCAGATTTAATACTTTTTGGCAAAGACTGCACACTTCAAAACCCTATTTTGGCTGGTTATCAAACTTGACCTTCGTTTCATGAGCGACTATGAACAAACCAAGTTTGGTCAAAATCAATCAATATTTTGTTCAATTCAACAGTTGGAAACCAAAACATGTCAAGTTGAGTCTGAGCCAAGAATTGATGAATCTGCAGTGTGAAAGATGTTTTTAACCAATAAAAAAAATCTTGGTTCTAGATACAAATGTTCAATGTGATAAATACAAAGGCAACTCACTTGGCAAGAAATTCTACCACAAAATCTATTCCAGAAAAACTCTCATCTCTCAATGTGTCATCCACCAATCTAAAAAGCAAATAGCACAAAATAAATATGATTATGTAATATTTTGCATGTAAAAAACAAATAAAATATATTTTCCTACAAGTTAGTAATTTTCATTTTTGAAAAAAGCCTTGCTGTACTTGGATATTCCATTTGGAACAAGCATGCGATACAACAATGTTCTCATATCTCCCACCAATATGACATCTGGAAATGAGCACTTCCACCATTACCACTAAGTGAAAGTCGTTGCTATGGAAACTCGAAAAAATAATTTTAAAAGAAATCCAAACTATCAAAAGGCACCAGTTTACCACTAGACCTATCTATGTGCCAAGTTTGGTCAAACATCTTCAAAATCCAGTCTTTTTCACGTCATCTCCGGACATATATTTTCAATATCCATGGTTGAGAAGGCTGGCTTCCATGACAACAGCAAGATCTGATGGTTCATGATCACTAACAGAGTTCCTCTGCTCATCAATACAGGCACTTTCAAAGGATTTGGGGAAAGACTTATGTTCTTGTGATTCTGAATTTATTATTTTGAAAATGGTGCTTCCAACAATACAGAGCTTCTACAAGTCTTAAAGGTCCAGTCACTTAGCCATATAGCAAGGGTTATAAAACATATTAGTTTCATTTACATCTATCTTTTGATATTTTGCTTCATGTATGATTGTTTGTTACACTAAAAAACGTGGTATCTTATGAAGGGTACTTTCTTGTCATATCTACACCCTCTATCTAGATTTGATGCTGGGGGCATAATCTGCCAATAAACCCATGGCTAAAGCCTTGTATCTACACCCTTTAGCTAGGTTTGAACCTCAGCATATAACATGAGAAATGACCACAAAGTACACCCTCTATCTAGATCTGATGCTGGGGGCATGCTCTACCAATAAACCCATGGGAAGATTCTTTTATGGATCCACATCCTTTAGCTAGCTCCGAACCTCAGCATATAACATGAGAAATGACCACAAAGTACACCCTCTATCTAGATCTGATGCTGGGGGCATAATCTGCCAATAAACCCATGGGAAGATTCTTGTATGGATCCACACCCTCTAGCTAGCTCCGAACCTCAGCATATAACATGGGAAATTACCACAAAGTACCCATGGGGTATACATCCATTCTAGTAAGGAACTACACCTTTTAGCTTCATTGAACCAGGATTAATAATCTGAGAAATCACAATATACCTAGATCTCCCATGACCCTGGAATCAGTTGTGTACTCACTTTGTCCAGATATTGATGGCCTTATCGTACTCTCCATGAAACTTGTACAACAGCCCCAGTGCATGGTACCGATGGAACCTCTCCAGACTCTCTACACAGTCATTTAAATCACAGCTTGAATCCACAGCAATCAGGGGAATTAACTCTGGCGAGTTCACCTCGGCATACAATCTCAATAGCACAGTATCAATCAGCTGCAAAACAAAGGACATTCAAACACATTTAATCAATTGCATCAACAAAAAAAGAATACTTTTATATTAAATAAAAATAAAATGTACCGTGAGAATCAATAATATTTGTTTTGAACCTATTTTATTTACATTCACGGTCAAATGGATTAGGCAAAAGATGTCCTGCGTATAACGCTCTTTCCATAAACATATATACAGATTAGGGCTGGTTATCAATATAGATCATAGAGATCGATAACCGCTAACTAAATATTGATCAATTACCGATAAATATCGGAGAAGGAACTTGAAGCAAATATGCAAGAAGTATGTCCTGATGTAAATCAACAGATATCATGCCATTGTGAGCAGTGACACATTTATGCATAGATTACTTTGTGGACATTTCAGATGAAACGAAAACACTTGCTTGCCTTCTTCGCCAATTGCCAATATTCACAATGACAATCTGTTAGGGTAAATCTAAACTTGATTTCATCACAACAGTTTATGTGAGTTATTATCGATGACAACTCTTTCATATCGATAATCGTTAATATTTCTTCCCATCACAAAATAATTCTGATTATCTACCTTTTTAGCAAGTCCTAATACAGACAGCGGACAATAATGTAAATATTAAATATTGAAATATATAAAAGGCATACAAAGTGCAGAACTTTTATGGAAATAGTAACATTAATAATTAACAAAATACCAGAAACTGTTGCTATGGTGAATACTGTGGTATGCCAGTCATCTAGTGAGAAGTTGTAAATGGTAAAACAAGAAAAGTAAAATATGAGAATATTTCTTGCAATGTTTCTTTGACTAATGACAAACTATATTTTGGACACAAAACTAAATATCTCATCAAAAATAAATTGAAGATGCAGAAAATACCACCATATTTACCGGATTAATGCCAATGGCTTGTTTGGTTCCTTTTATCTCTTCTAAATAGCACCTCAAGAAATGTTTATATTCAGGTATCAAAGAGTCATCTCCCTTTGTTAGTTGATTGACATCTGCTATTTCATGGAGAGGGGGGGCCGACCTGACGAAGTTGACACTGGCAGGCAGCAGGTGAGGATACAAACTGATGATCTGCCATAGGAAACATATTAAAATGAATCAGTTGACATAATAATAATAATAATAATAATAATAATAATAATAATAATACAGATCCATGATTATGAAAAAAAGGAGGAGGGGCTTTTTGTAACTTTAAGTTACCCCCCCCCCCCAAAAAAAAAAAATAATAATCACAAACCCGATACGTAAACCATCGGTAATTTTTCTTCAATAACCAAATCAACATGTTATCAGAATCCCCACTCTGGCTTCGTCACATACATCCTGGTGGCCAAAATCTGAAGAATATGATTGATTGACTGTTGTTTTAGCCCAGTGAGGTGAGGTGCCTTGGGGTGAAATAGGGTTTAATGTCATATTCAAGTTTACTGCACATACATAGCGACGTTCATGCATATATGTGTGAGTGTGGCTGCTTGTACTAGTCTGGACAAATACTGGTTTTATCATGCTAGCCTACTGAGATACCATGCCACAGTGTAACAGTCATACCCTGCTCAGACACAGCATACTGTGTATTGCCTTTTGGTATGATGCGGCCAAGGATAGAACCATCGGCCTTACGCTCTCTGGGAAGGTGCTCTATCCACTAGACCATGGAGGCAGTCTAGTCTAGTCAGCAATATCATAGCTACATAGGGGTAGAATTCCTTGTGACCAAAATCAGAACAAAGAATGTGATTGGCTGAATATTGTTTTGGTCCAGTCAGCAATATTACAGCTACATCTAGTCTTGACAAACCAGTGGTCAATAGCATGAGCAATGATCAATATCATCAGGACACAGTACTTACAATCAACCAAGTTCAGTGTTTGAAACAATATGAAACCCAACAAGACAGTAGGGCAAGTGACCGGTAAGTGTTGCCTGCCCATATCAAAATTACCTGCCCATATTCAGACATAAATATGGAAAAATTTAAAAATATGAGTCTTAATTCAGTCGAAATAATGCAAACAACTACTTGAGAATAACAAGAGTCATCAGAAGATAACAAATCCCTCCAACCCTAACAATAGCAAGAGGCACCACTTCATCACCTGGTCAATACATGTACCAAGTTTGGATGAAACATCTTTCACGGTTATCTAGTTCTGCTCCGAAAACGAAATACAGAAGGACAGACAGACCAAATGATAACTATAATAAATCTGAACAAAACTGAATACATAAGTAGTCTTAAAGTTATTTGTCAGACAGTCAGGCAGGTGGAGGAAAATCTCATGCAGCCCAAAAGAAAAGTTACTAGCCACGGCAGGCGGACAGACAGTTATTTCAGACACTGATCAATTCGCAAAAAGTACTAAAACTTCATCATCTATCTGCCACCTAAATCCAGAGATCTCCTAAAAGGTGCATAGTCATATACTCTTTTGAAAATCCTTTTGTTCAGTTTTGATCTGGAATACAAAATGTCACTAGTGTCATGGATGCACGGCTGACACGGTGCCTCACCTCTTTGATGTCCACCTCCCCCTCTTGGAACAGTTCCGTCGCCTCCTGCCAGTGTTGCTGGGAGAACTCGATGAAGCCAGCTTGCTGCTGGATGCGGTGGTACATCTGAGAGACACACAGTCAGAGGGTTTGGGGAACAGTATTTCAGTAATATCAGTAAAAGTCAGCTAAAATATCGGAGAAAGTCCAGAATATCTGAGATATTTTATTTGAAAAACTGATTATTTACTACCAATTAATGAAACACCTTATGTGTAAACATAATCACATAAGCACTGACTTCTTATTTATCTAAAAGAATTGACTTCAATGTTTTTGTGTTTTGGGAGGTCTTAACTTAAAATGTGTTGTGCATACAGTGTAAATCCGCAATATTCGCAAGTGTGCACGGGACATTGGTTTTTATGTCTATAACTCCATAAACACAACAATATATTGAAGTCAATTCTAATACCGCATTCGACGTAATAAGCGCCCAGGGCGCTCTTATTAGAATATTATTTTGGTGAAATAAACAGAGTTGAAAGATAAATTTTGTGGTTTATGCTGGCAGCCTGAAATGCTAATGTACGACAGATATGTTTTTCCAGAATTTAATTGCCAATAATAAAGGGTGACTATAACACACGAGTGCGCATTATAGGCGAATTGGGGAAGGAAGCGGTGCGTATTATATGCGAATAGGGGTCGGAAGGGATGCTAATTGGGATTGTTCACTAGCAAATCTCGACGTAGGTGCTTATTAGAGCGGGGCGCTTATTACGTCGAATACGGTAAATGTCAACAATAATAACTTCACAGGCTGTTTATTTAATCATTAAAAAAACTGGAGACAACAATACAGAAAGAGTGACATTGTTTTGTACTTAATGAACCCAAGCCCCGCCCATTACATTATCAGCCAATCAGGATACAATAGCCTGTTAGTGGGTACGGGCCTTTTTACTTTTTTGTAACCGTCAATACATGCAATTATTTATTTATGTATGCACCTCACTTTCATTTTTGTATCAGAAAGGGATATTAATCATGTTAAAAAAGTGAATGGTTTCAGATCACTTCATTTTCCAGGACATTGACTGATTGTCATCCCAAATGTCCAACAATATAATTCAGCCGAGTGCAAACCGGCAACATCGGAAGCGTTAGTTAAATCTCCAATATCATCATCATCATATTTCAGCCACATCCTACCTTGAGGAACTTCTCTCTACTGAGACCTGTCTTCGTGGCGTTCTTGGCCAAGTCTAGCGCCTCCTTCACCCTCTTGTCAGCCAACAGTGCTTGGATCTAAAACAGAAAATGTGTATTACCTGTGCGTTACAGACAATAGATGTGAAATCATAATAATTCATTTGAGATGTAACACATGTCCCAAGTATTTATCTTGTTATGATGGATGCTCAATGGACAACAATGGGTGGTGAAATGGGGTTTAATGTTACGTCCAAGATTATTGCACTTATACAGCGGCTGCATGTGTGTGCGTGCGCGCGCGCTGAGTGAGTGTGTGTGTGTTAGTGTGTGTGTCTGGCTGCTTGTACTAGTTGCACTAATACCGATGATATAGTGCCAAACAAATGAGATACCATGCCACAGTTAAACATGAACAGGCTCCTACCTGTTTCTCAAAGGCCACAGGTACAAGAGAGTAGATCTCTCTCCCTGAGGCCACAAACAGCCGACCGTCATAGTCCCCGAGACACACCCCGCCCTGGAAGGGGATGGCCTGCTTCTGTTGCTGGTCCAGGATGCTGGGAATAAGACCAAGCTGATGATATTTGTACGACAACTGATTCAACAGAGGAAGAGCACTTTCTTTCTCTATCTGTATTTCTCAATTTTCCCTCCGGTAAAGAGGATCTCAAGTTTCATATTCTGATATTTGTACGACAACTGATTCAACAGAGGAAGAGCACTTTCTTTCTCTATCTGTATTTCTCAATTTTCCCTCCGGTAAAGAGGATCTCAAGTTTCATATTCTGACATTTGTACGACAACTGATTCAAACAGAGAAAGAACACTTTTTTGCTAAATCTGTATTTCTCAATTTTCCCTCTGGTAAAGAGGATCTCAAGTTTCACATACAGTTTAGTTTGCACAAGACTCACCTGTGTACTGTGATGAACTCGTCATTCATTGCCAGGATGTAGGGGTGGACGTAGCTGACGCTGACCAGGTTATCTGACCACTGCATGGGTGGACGCTGGGAGATGCCCGCAGATGTCACAAACATGCCCAGGGCACTTGGGCCAGACAGCAGGAACTCATCCTGTACACACACAGCAGGCTTCAGCATCATCAATTAAAGTCAATGAGTCCTTGTCAGAACCCCTAACGTCAAAAGTTAAACCATGTACATAAGGGTTTCCCAGATTCAAATACCATAGCTAAAAAATCATCAGCAATTTTCTTTTAAGTGATGTCTTTGATAGGCATTTAGAATTTTGGAGAACATGAATATGTGACACTTTTTTATGGACAGCAACTTCTTTGCACAACGTTTCAGAGCTCCTTCTTGCTCCTTCATCAGGTGAGGGGGCATAGGTGGCCCAGTCATCTAAGGCGCCGCGATTCGCTGTGCAGAGTTGCGTCCCTTGGGCACGCCAGAAACCTATGAATCCCGGTTTGCCCCATTAAGGTTTCTAGGTTTGTCAGCACCATACGCATGCTCGTGGGTTTCATCCAAAGTGGTAAACGTCTGAAACCTGCATCACTTAGGGCTTTCCTCCCACATTAAGCTGACACACCGCGATAAAACTGGAATAGTGTTAAAAGCGGCGTTAAACCCAACTCGCTCACACACATCAGGTGAAAGCCTCATAAAAAAGTGTCATGTATTCTTTTAGGGTGTCAACAAAATATGATACAGACCTAAGATGAATACAACCACCCTTCCACCACCTAGCCTAAAATAATGACAGTGTTGCCGATGAAGTTTGTTGTTAGTGTGGTCTGCAAAAGTTGTCTACCTTGCTGATTCTCTTGACTATTGGCGTCATTTGGTCGTTGTCGTAGGGGAACAGGTCTTGCATGGAGTTGGTGTCGGAGTTGATGACCATGTACTGGGACGTCAGTGCAGCACAGATGTTGACACCATCGACACCCTGGTATCAACAAGAAAACAAGCTCAGAGATAATGCATACATGATTCAGACATGTTGTTGTAGCATGACCTAAATGCCTAACCACAGTCACAGTTTGTTCAGACACAATTGTATTAAGTTTTGTAATATAATGGTATCGGTAGACATATTGTTTCTACAATTACTGGTTCAGTCATGGCAACATTATTGCAGAACTTACCACGGCCACAGCTGGTTCAGATATGTTGCCATAGTAACTTTGGGTGCTGAACATACCACAGCCACAACTGGTTCAAATGCATTGCCATAGTAACAGGGTATGTTGCACAGATCCACAGCTGGCACTGACATGCTGCCATAGTAACATTAAACCCTAATCTCACAACTGGTTAAGACAGTTTATCATAATAACATGGCACATTGGACTTACCACAGCCACAGCTGGTTCATACAGGGTGTCATAGTAATACGGTATGTTGGACTTACCACAGCCACAGCTGGTTCAGACAGGATGTCATAGTAATGCGGTATGTTGGACTTACCACAGCCACAGCTGGTTCAGACAGAATGTCATAGTAATACGGTATGTTAGACTTACCACAGCCACAGCTGGTTCAGACAGGTTGTCATAGTAATACGGTATGTTGGACATACCACAGCCACAGCTGGTTCAGACAGGATGTCATAGTAATGCGGTATGTTGGACATACCACAGCCACAGCTGGTTCATACAGGGTGTCATAGTAATATGGTATGTTGGACTTACCACAGCCACAGCTGGTTCAGACAGGATGTCATAGTAATGCGGTATGTTGGACTTACCACAGCCACAGCTGGTTCAGACAGAATGTCATAGTAATACGGTATGTTAGACTTACCACAGCCACAGCTGGTTCAGACAGGTTGTCATAGTAATACGGTATGTTGGACATACCACAGCCACAGCTGGTTCAGACAGGATGTCATAGTAATGCGGTATGTTGGACATACCACAGCCACAGCTGGTTCAGACAGGGTGTCATAGTAATACGGTATGTTGGACTTACCACAGCCACAGCTGGTTCAGACAGGATGTCATAGTAATACGGTATGTTGGACTTACCACAGCCACAGCTGGTTCAGACAGGGTGTCATAGTAATACGGTATGTTGGACTTACCACAGCCACAGCTGGTTCAGACAGGTTGTCATAGTAATACGGTATGTTGGACTTACCACAGCCACAGCTGGTTCAGACAGGTTGTCATAGTAATACGGTATGTTGGACTTACCACAGCCACAGCTGGTTCAGACAGGGTGATGTCCCGGAGGTGGATCATCCGGTCCTCTGTTACCGTGTACAGCTGCAGCTGCTTCTTCTTGAGTGCCACACAGACCTGCAGACAGGAAGACAAGCTTTAGCTGATCAGCAGGGGATAGTCACTAATTCTATCTACCAGTTCAGTTGTCTTCTTCTAGCTGTTTCATAACTGACAAGGCATTGACGATTGATTGAGAGAGATACTTTGGTTAACACTGCCTTTAAATATTGAAAGGTATATAAATATGATCAGGTATATAGGTTAACCACTTTGGTGCAACCCAAGGAAATGTCATCTTCCCAAGGCAAGGGAGTTAACTGACTGTAAAAGTCCAGTTTCCACAATTGCCAAACTAGGCTGGAATTTCCAGGTTCGATCGTAGAGCCACCAGTGGCTTTTACGAGTTAGGTCCCTTCTATGTCCCTCCTATTGACCAATCAGATTCCACCACTACATATCACTTGCATTCGCTTCAAACAAAATGGTAGCGACCAGTCAAGACGACCTGATCAATAATCAAGATCTTTATTGTAATAATATGGGTCTTTCCTTGCGAAGTGAATCAAATCGCTTGCACACCTTCATTAAAAACATGAAAAGATTTGAAAAATATCTGTCTGATGTCCAGTTGGCGGTGCAGATGCTCCGCAAACACAGCAATTGACCGAAAGCTGGACAGTAGTGGCCATGTTGTTATGAACCAATGTCAATTTTGTAACTATAACTCCATAATTCCATCTAGTTCGGCAAGGGTGGAAACTTGCCCTGCCTTGGGAAGATGCAGAAATGTGCATTTCGTTGATAAACCCAGAAGCATAATGAAGTATTTTTCACAGGATGTTGATAAGAACAATTCATCAGAGCATTCATACCTCAATACTGAAAGGGTTTGTTCGCAATGGGTTATGGTTGACACAGAAACAGGTTATCCCCTTGATCTTTGCTCCACTCAAGATCGGCTGAAACAACAAGTGTACCTATGAAATGGTTTGTAAACAATTGATAGTGATTCAGTACTGCATTAACAGTGTTGGTATGTCGTGATAACGTCTCCTATAAGAGATGCCAGTTGAATGAAGGAAGCTTAGGGGGGAAATATATTTATGGGTGAATGAATGAATGAATGAATGAATGAATGAATGAATGAATGAATGAATGAATGAATGAATGAATGAATGAATGAATGAATGAATGAATGAATGAATGAATGAATGAATGAATGGGACCCCATATTTTATAACTGGTGAATTAACCAGAACATCAGCTAAAATTTCCCTTATTATCCTGACCCGTGAAGATCCGGGGTAAAATAGGTCTTCAGCAACTCATGCTTGCTGTAAAAGGCGACTATGCTTGTCGTAAGAGGCGACTAATGGGATCGGGCGATCAGGCTCTCTGACTTTGTTAATGCATGTCATTGATCCCAATTGCATGGATCGATGCTCATGATGTCAATCACTGGATTGTCTGGTCCAGACTCGATTATTTACAGACCGCCGTCATATAGCTGGACTATTGCTGCGTGCAGCGTTAAACAACAAACCAAACCAAATCCCTTATTATCCTAGCAAAAAAAATCCTTACCTCCAGGTCAAACATGTTGAGCAGAGTGAGCGTGTTGTCACACACGACCAGGATCCTGTTGAGCGCTGATGCACCTTGCAGCTGAGTGATGGCCTTTTTCTGTGGAAGATGAAAGGTAGGAGCAAAAATCAGGACATACCAGTACTGCAACTAGTATGAACATCATTAGGGTTGTTCTGACCCATAGACTTCACCAGTGACTGATTCAGTTTCAACGATTGAATAGATCGTGACATCTGTTACTGATATTTCATTTTAACCATTTTCAGATGAGGCTTCAAAAGTGATGAATTGTGGGGAGGCCTAGTGGTCAAAGCGTTTGCTCATCATGCTGAGACCCGGGTTCAATTTCCCGTATGCCCATTTCTGGTATCCCCTGCTGTGATATTGCTGAAATATCATTAAAAGTGGCGTAAAACCATACTCACTCACCCAAAAACAATATTATTAGTCTTTCTTACCTGTATCATGGATATGAAGGATGCTGAGACGATTGCCATGAATGGCTAAAAATTCAGTGTAACCCATTTTTTCTTCTGATATCAGTCTCACACAGTCAACTTTTTAAGCATGCATCTCTGATGGTCTGACTGCTATTTTTGTTTTACATTTAGTTCATAAAATAAAGGAGAGCATGGCACCTCACTGTAATTTATTAACCAGGTACCCAACCCTTATATTACCCTACCCTACCCGGGTACCCACTGTAGGTCTCAAGGGATAGGTACAAAATGTCTGATTGGGAATAGTTTGACCATAGCCTTGGCGAAATGTTTGTAGATACACACATATAGCCAGATACTTTTTGCCATAAAACAATATATCATGAGACTAACAACAAGTCTGGTTAGTCCTGTGGGTATCCAGGTCCAACTCAGTACCCCTGACCCGAGTAACCGAGTTACCTGTCCCAGCCAAAATATGCTTCCTCAGTGTTTACCATCATGACACATTAGCCCATATGCATAGATATGAGACCAGAGATAATAAATAGAGTGATGGAGGAAGGCAAACCAGTGGATCCTGGCATGTCAAAGGGGCACAACTTCACACCGATTATTCACGGCAGGGGACACCAGAAATGGGCTTCACACATTGTACCCATGTCGGAGTGAGTGAGTGAGTTTGGTTTAACACCGCTTTTAACAGTATTCCAGTTATATCGCGGCGTGTCAGCTTAATGTGGGAGGAAAGCCCCAAGTGATGCAGGTCACAGACGTTTACCACTTCGGTGAAACCCATGAGCACGGGTATGGTGCTGACAAACCTAGAAACATAATCGGGGCAAACCGGGATTCGAACCCACAATCATAGATTTCTGGCGTGCCCAAGGGACGCAACTTTGCACAGCGAATCGCGGCGCCTTAGACAACTGGGCAACCCGTGCCCCCCCCCCCCCCCCCCCCCCATGTCGGAATCAAACCCGGGTCTTCGGCGTGACTAGCGAACGCTTTAACCACTAGGCTACCTGACTGCCCCAAGTAGTCTAAGAGATCACATTCCAACAACTGTGGTACTCACCACTGCTAAGTACTTGTGACCTTGTTTCTCACTCTGAAATGAAACCCTGCCTGACGAGGATGTCTTCTCTTCAATAGTGTAGTGAACAACAAAACTGTAAAAAACAAAATATATCCATGGATGTAAGATGAAGGTCCTCATCAAACGTCTTTAATCATATTGACCTTTTTGAGAATCACATTTGATTTGATTTCTCATGCAACTGGCAAAATGATCAAATATAGCTATACATTTAAAAAAAATGATTTACAAATTGTTTGAAAGGCTTGAAGTTGACGGATGAAAAATGTATCATGTTCTTCATTCAGTCTTGCTGTATAATGGTATAAGGATCTATACCGACACATTGCCATTACAGTAATGAAGAAGTTGTTATCCATAAATTGCGTCTACTTTGTCTGATTTACAGAATTAATACAACATTAGAGGTGAACAATAACAGTGAACAAAGCACCATGAAATTTGAACAAACTTATATAATGACATCCTACATATCCTAGCTACCATCACAAGCTGGTATGTTTAAATTGTTGATGAACATGATGATCCAAAAATATGAGTTTTTACCATCATAAAACAATAAATGTATACTCTCATAACTCATATCCAAACACTGTGGTAATTAATCCCTTGTGTAAGTCAAATAAGGAATTTCAGCTTCAGATGATTTTCATGCCACAAGAAATTATTCCTCCTTCTAACTGGTAGTTGCTCACCAGTCATTTGTCCCAATGTACAGGTTCTTGCCACAGACATCAATGCACTCAATCTGAAAATGATACATTACCGTAACCGACGTAATAAGCGCCCAGGGCGCTCTCAAAATTAGAAATAGGGGGCTCTTATTAGAATATTATTTTGGTGAAAAAACAGAGTTGAAAGATAAATTGCGTGGTTTATGCTGACAGCCTGAAATGTTTATATACGACAGATATATTTTTCAAGAATTTAATTGCCCATAATTAAGGGTGCATATAACACGCGAGTGCGTATTATATGCGAATAAATAAGTCTTGTGTACATTGATCCATCAGAAGGGGTGCTAATTGGGATTGTTCACTAGCCAATAGATATGCAAATATCACCATGGACGCTTATTAGAGCGGGGCGCTTATTACGTTGAATACGGTTAAAAATTACAAAACAAACATGGCAATTGATGATGTTTGAGGCATAACATCACATGAAGGCATCAAACACGTTTGAGTCTATAAAACTGAACTTGTATTTCGGCATTATTTCAGTAGATTTTAGTCTTAGTGAGTGAGTTGGGTTTAACGCCGCTTTTAACAATATTCCAGTTATATCACGGCGTGTCAGCTTAATGTGGGAGGAAAGCCCGAAGTGATGCAGGTCTCAGACGTTTACCACTTCAGTGAAACCCATGAGCACGGGTATGGTGCTGACAAACCTAGAAACATAATTGGGGTGAACTGGGATTCGAACCCACAATTATAGGTTTCTGGCGTGCCCAAGGGACGCAACTCTGCACAGCGAATCGCGGCGCCTAAGACGACTGGGTCACCTGTGTCCCTCTTTTAGTCTTAGTAAATGGACTAGAACAAGCTGATCTTACTAGGCCAGAAGGGTTTTTACTAGACTTGGGGTTTGGACTAGTGGTTAAAATTGCAGACTCTGATAGTTAAGGTCCACAAACACATTTGGCAATTGGAAAGTGTTGTTTCAACTCTCTCGTAGTGAAGCGATTCTCACTTTTTTGTATGATCACTGAAAACCACAGACACAGGCTCACCTTTAGGGAGTGAGTTGGGTTTATCGCCGCTTTTAACAGTATTCCAGTTATATCGCGTCGTGTCAGCTTAATGTGGGAGGAAAGCCCCAAGTGATGCAGCTCTCAGACGTTTACCACTTCGGTGAAACCGACGAGCACGAGTATGGTGCTGACAAACCTAGAAACATAACTGGGGCGAACTGGGATTCGAACCCACAATCATAGGTTTCTGGCGTACCCAAGGGATGCAACCCTGCACAGCGAATCGCGGCGCCTTAGACGACTGGGCCACCCGTGCCCCCAGGCTCACCTTTAACCAGCTATAACATTTAACATTGTTTATGGGGTGAGGACATACCAAACTAGTCATCTTGCATAACAGACATGATATCAATAAATGGATAAAATGATGTTTTACAAATCTCTTGATTTCAGCTGAGACAATTAAGTATGAGTAAGCTGCGCCCATAAACTGCATTGTTACCCAAATTATATAATATATTTGGGTCAATTTTGATCCAAGCAGTGAACTGGCCAGGCATTTTGACTAGATCTATCTGTGGAGGAGTGATTGGAAAATATTTTGATTTATGAATCAGGAACTTCTTGCAAAAATGACCAGAATGATTAAAAAGGGAGACTTTATGCGTTGTCAATAGAGCAAGCTTTGTGGCACCGTTAGCTGGAAGGAGGGGTCCAACTGACACACAGCTTAACAGTCGTGCCTGTATTTTGATCGATGAACCCTCCTCCAGGAAAAGTGTGAGTGTCGCTGTCATACTCAGCTGTCAGTTTCAGTTATTCTTACCTGAGACTTCGCTTTGTCAGACATTAATTTTACCCGCTCGATGGCGGGTACCAACTCAAATGCTTTGACACTCATTCTCAATCTCGTGTGCGTTCGTAGGAACTTAAAATATGCGTAACATCCTGTTAGTTTCCCCTCTAGCGTTGTTCATTACCGACTCAGCCGATGGACAGCGCCATCTTGGATTGACCTGCCATCTAGCGATAAGGAAACTCCCACTTCAAGAGAAATAACTCTGACCGCAAAACTCTGGCGCTTCGCTCACTCGTTTAATATTTCGTTTGTAAACGGGGGAGTCTTCATGTCGCTAATATCGAATATTTTAGAGATGACGAATGAATGATGTTTTTTTGTTTTGTTTTTTTAAATTTATCAATATTGAAACAACTGATAACTGTAGCGCCTCGAAACACCTGCCCGCCCGACCGTCCGAGACGGGCTGTTTTCGTCTCGGGCAGGTAACTTATATTTTATATGTAAAATATATAACATTGGCTGGTTGGTTTATTGTTTAACGCCGCACTCGGCAATATTCCAGCTATATGACGGCGGTCTGTAAATAATCGAGTCTGGACCAGACAATCCAGTGATTAATATCATGAGCATCGTTCTACGCAATTGGGATACGATGACAAGCATCAACTAAGTCAGCAAGCCTGACAACCCGATTCCGTTAGTCACCTCTTACGGCAAGCATAGTCACCTCTTACGGCAAACATGGGTTGCTGAAGACTTGTTCTAAACCCCGGATCTTCGCGGGTCGGCAACTTTCTAACTGGGCAAGTAACTTTTTATGAGTTGTCAGTCCTGCTGTCTGGATAGATTTTTTAATGAATATTCAACACTGATAACTGTCATGATTGCTGTTGTAAGTTTAAAGAAGATGAACATCATGCAGTGAGTTAATATTGAACCTCTCATCAGCAATAGCTCAGCCATTATATAGCACGAGAGCACATTTTGTTTGATTAAAGCATATACATTTAAATAGTAAGGTAAATATCACAGATACAATAAAATACAAACAATACGGTTAAACGCAACACATATATCTAAGAACAACCACATGACCGACACTAAATGTATGTCGTGAGGGTGTCAACCGCCATTCTCCGACTCTAGGCATCCGGCATACCACTTAATTTGTCTTGGCATCCAGGGTGTCGTTGTACAAAACAACCTTAGCGCTACGACTATCGTAAGTCTATGTTAAGGTATGGGAGTTAGATCACCTTAGCGCTAAGATCGCTTTGTACAATGGCACCCAGCTTAAGAACTCTGGAGTCATGTTACTGATACAGCTGTACAAGTAAATTAGACTGAGACTGGGATTTTCACATGGCATGAATGACAGTGTGTGCTCGCAAGCTTGGAGATAAATAGTTTCTTGATTTGCCACTCTTTGAAGGAAACAAACACGAAAAACAAATTTCAACATTGAAATATTGGCATCCGCGAACCGCGAACCGCGAACATTTTATGCCATCCAGCGTACCGCAGCGTCATCCAGATTACCACTTAACAGGGCTCGGCATCCGACCGCGTACCATGCAAAAGGTGTTTGGCACCCTCTGTTATTTCAAAACATATTCACATTTTCAAAATCAATTTCAAAACCAAATGCCCACAAACACGAGTTACCACTCCTTCACATTTGCTGCTTTTGGTTGTTGGTTGGTTTGTTGTTTAACGTCGCACTCAGCCATATTCCAGCTGTATGACGGCGGTCTGTAAATAATCGAGTCTATTTTATTTTATAGCAAGTATGGTAGGTTTACAACCACCAGTATCCAGAGCGATGACGTAAATTCTGCTCTGGCACACCAGGCCAGTAGAAGCAGGTTCAAACCTCTTACTTTTTCCCACTGATTTTATCAACACATTTTCAACCACTTCACCAACTACACACATACAGAGTATTTTTATGCGAAACCGAATTCAGAATAAAAACAACATCATTTTTGGCTTTCCCACGTGAAGCTGACACGCCGTCATATAACCGGAATACTGGTCAAAGCGGCATTAAACCCAAGTCACTCACTCACTCGTAGTTTCGCTAATACTTTACACTCACCCCTCGAAGTAATAGGGGATAAAAGCTATTTCTAGCAGTATGAATGGATTGATTTTTGGGTGTGTCGGGTGAGTGGGTAACTAACAAAAGGATAAGGGTCTATAGTAGTAATCAGATACACTTTCATCTTCCTGTAGAAGAGAATTACTAATGTTATACAGAAACAACAGATTTATGAACACATAGATTTTTAATCCTCGGCGGGGTACGAATTTCAACATGCAATCCCTTGATAACGTTGTCCTTCACGCTAGGGTCGAGTTGATACTGAGTAAGACCCGGGTACCTACAGGACTACCCGGACCCGTAGTTAGTCACATGATATATTGTTTAATGACAAAAATTATCAAGAACTGTTCGCATTTCTTTCTGACTAAGCACCCATTCCTTCTGATTTTTCATATGGTTCAATAAAGATATAACTTAATTCAGCTTCAGTGTATGCATGACCAGATTGTTCAATACTTGTATATAAATACGTTTTGCCAGCGCTATGCTAAAAAATGTCACCAATCGGACATTTTGAGACATCTCCTGAGACCTACAGTGGGTACCCGGGTAGTAAATTTGGACTCGTCCCAGCCCTTCTTCACGCTGTGCTGCGGTGAGTGTCGTCATCACAATTGTAAGTATTAACCGAGCTTGGTTTATTTGTACATTATTATGTTCATTGTACCGTTGTAAATCCTGGAGGTATGTTGCTATGCAAGGGCCTGTGAATCTGGTTTGCACATCTAATTTCAATATATATTATGCATTTTATCCATATTTGACTTATTGCCTATAATGATATGCACTTTATTTAAATAAGTAAAATCCTAGACGTTTAAACTTGTTTAAATTTTAAACATTTTAAAACTTTCAACATGTACAAATTCTGAACATGTCTAGACGTTTAAATTCCAAATGTTTAGATTACAAGGATGTTGTTATTAGGCTGTGAACGATTTCATGTATTTATAGACCCTAAAGTGATAAGACAGAACACACCAAAATGTGTATTCCGTTTAGAATTTAAACATACCTAAAATGACTTTTATGTGTTTACATTCAAAACACATTTTCACAGTGCATGGAAATATTCTACCCTGTTGTACTCATTCTACCTCTGACATGAATGGGATGCAACGGTTGGCACGTGTAACAGCTTACAGCTTCCGTCCAATATAGATGGTTGGCGTTGCACCCCAATTTGCCATACTTAATACATAATTTTATTTTGAACCTCTCTTATAGTTGTTTTTACAAGTATAAATCATGCTCTGTTGGAAAGTTCTATTAATATGAAAAGAATTGGTGAATCAATATTATAATGCTCAAACGTTGCAACAAGAACAAAACTTTCTGTCTCTTTTTGTAAATGCAGTCTGCTTTAATTGTATGTTAAACATTTAGTTTATGAGCTTCGTTTTGATTCTTTGTTTGTTGTTTACGCCGCGCTCAGCAATAGTCAAGCTATATGACGGCGGTCTGTAAATAATCGAGTCTGAACCAGACAATCCATCATTGACATGCATCAGCCAAGTCAGCGAGCCTGACCACCCTATCCCGTTAGTCGCCTCTTACGACAAGCATAGTTGCCTTTTATATGGCAAGCATGGGTTGCTGAAGACCTATTCTTCACCCCGGATCTTCACGGGAAATCAATGATAGAACATGCACCATCACCACAGCAACCCATGCTTGTCGTAAAAGGCGATTTACTTGTCGGAAAATGCGACTGACGGGATCGGGTGGTCAGACTCACTGACTTTTTTTAGTTCATGTTATCGTATCGTATCGTATCGTTATCGTAGGTCGATGCGCATGGTGTCAGTCACAGGAATGTCTGGTCCAGACGACTAGATTCTATTTACAGACTGCTGTCACATTATTGCCCAGTTCGGTATAGGCCAACGGGATTATCTCTCCAAGACCGTTCCCAAACGTGATCAGGTGGTTAGGCTTGCTGACTTGGTTGCTTCTTGTCATCGTATCGGTTCTACGTAGATCGATGCTCATGATGTCAATCGCAGGATTGTTCCCGAATCGAAATTCACTGACCGCCGTCACATTTATTGCCGAGAGCGGTAAAGGCCAACGGGATTATCTGCCCCAGACCGTTCCCTAAATTAACAATATAAATGTTGAAACACAACTACAACCATCAGGACAGTTACGTCAATTAATAAAGGAGAACCTCTCCCCTCCACACAACCATGGTCGTGGCCTCAGCCTCCATATGTTGCAAAGGCTCATGGGATACAATAGTCCATCCAATCAAAACGCGTATCACCAGCGGCGTTCCCTAGCGACGCCATTCTATCCCCCTGGGGCGTCAAAGGAAGGAGTCAGATAGTCGTACTGGCGGAAAAATCAAACATGGCTCAGGTTAATCAAGACATGGAACTGCCTAAATGGTGTCAGGCGTCGACAGCAGCTTCACTTCAAAGATTTACACGTGGACCTGGGTGAGTAGAAGCATATGTTTGATGTTTTCACTCTTTTCATATTTGCAAAGTGAGCCATGACTTCCGCCCAACTCTCAACTTGCTACGAAAGCAGGAATCGGAAGTTTAGTTTGTTAGTTGAGCTTAAACATTGTTAATTGCTGCATTGTAGCTCATCTCGAACTGGAAACGTCATATTCATTTGCCATGACAAGCAGATTTAACTAAATATGCACTAATAAATATAAAATAATGGAGGTTTTCATTCGATAAGAGACCATATTGTCTCTTACTAGTCTTAGGCTGTCGTTTGTTCACTAAAGCGCTCTCTTGGCGATAACAGTTTTCAGTTAGAGCTAAATCGCCGTTTAATTCAAGTAAGCGCTCATAAAATATCTCACGCATATGCTGTAATTATTGCTTCTATTTAGTAGATCTAGTAAGCAACGGTGCATAACTTCTTTTTTTTTATAGTAATTATGTTCAGTATAGCCCATGCACTATAAGCTGTGTCATACATTTTTATAAAACAACTTGGTGGTCAGGTGTAGTTAGCAACAAGCTGAAAACAAAGTGGACACAATTTATGGATAACAACTTCTTTAATACTGTAAAGGCTGTTATCCATAAATTGTGTCTGCTTTGTCATCCGCCAACTTCTGAGTGATGCCTGTCAAACAAATCAAGCTGAAAGCTGTGAACAGCTGCTGAGGGGATCCAACAGTCCTCAGAAGGGATTTTTCTTGACAGTTTGACATGTCTCTATGGTGGGCCTGATGTTTAAAGAGTTGTCTGAAGAACAACAGGGCCTTATTACCAATTATGTATTCTTACTGGAACTGTTGGTTTGTTTATCAATGAATGCCAGATTATGTAGATATGAATATGAATATTAATCAGCAGATATTAAGAGACATCAAAGTATATGTGACTATATGGACTATCAACTAACTCAGTAGTCCTAGCAGAGCCTTCAGAAGGCCCAATGGTAGTTTGGGTCAAGAGTATGGTTTGTCTATCGATCTAAAATATTTGTCTATATATATTTGTACCAATCCTAATATACAAAGTTAGCTGGTGAATAGTAACTGTGTGATTATTAATTTATTTAAAAATCATTAACAATCATGTTTGAAATTTAAGGGGGCCTGTGGTCTTTTGTTTGTTAGTTTGCTGCAATGCTATTTGAATCTGGGGACACCCTAAATATTTGACTTTGAACATTGGGGTTCAATTTTATGCTTGATCTTTAACACTTATTAAGAATGTTTAACAATCATCCAAAATTGCTTGTGTCAAAGGTCTCTCAAGTATATTTACTGGTATTATACAGTCTTTGAACTGAACCATTTGGGAAGAAATTGCCAATGCTCTCTACACCAGCTACTTCAGTGAAGCAAATAAGGCAATGTCTTTTTCTAAGAGTGTCAGACTTAAGGGTAAGTTATGGGTTCGAGAACCCCCTGGTTTTTCTAGACTACTCACATGGTTGTATTCACACAGGTAGGTTTATGCATGTTTATTGAAGTATTCAATCAGGTGCAGAAATGTCATTAGAACTATTACTTATTTATTTTGTAATACTGCCAATTTGTCGACTTAATATTACAAGTTGAATTAGTAATGTTTATCCCAATTACTGTCCATTACTGTCCAAACATCTGACTTTTGTTAGGTCTTAATTTCATGTTAATGAAGTTGTAGTTCATTTATCTTTGTGATCATGACAGCCTTTTAAATGCATGTCCCTGTTGGGATTCTGGTTCAAAACAGGTCACAGACAGTAGCCTGTGCTTAAATGTGTAGAACCTTACTATTGTGTAGCCTGGTTGATTGTATGTCACAGTACAGCATCAAACAGTCAGGCCTCAAAGTTGCAACTAAAACGGTAGCCAATGCGACCTAAATTTCAGTCTGTCTACTGTCTAAAATTCAGAGGTAGCCAAATGACTACCTTGAAAAATATCTTGTGGCAACTAAATTCTATTGCTACATGTCTGTAGACACAAAATTAATAACAGCTAATATTGGAAAACACGTCTTCTAATAATTGTACTCGCAAATAATTCCTTCTTAAGTCAACAGTGAACCAAAATACATAAAAATTAATGTAATTACTGTAGTATTTTAGTTTAGTTGACAATGCTCATTGGATAAGCGAGGATATACCTCACTATATAATCTAGTAACATAAATTGCATCATTGTTCAAGTCACAAGTAACAAAATTCAAGTACAGTTTCCATTAAGATACAATTTCAAGACTAGTGCTGTAACTTGTACATATTATAATAGTTATTTGATAAAGATAATTTCAAATGCTTTTGGCTACCTACAATATTGGCTTGACTTCTTGATTTTACCACTGGCTACCTGGAAAAAAAATACTTGTAGCCATAGGGCTACTTGGTAAAAATTTAAACTTTGAGTGAGTGAGTGAGTTGGGTTTAACGCCGCTTTTAACATTATTCCAGTTATATCACGTTGTGTCAGCTTAATGTGGGAGGAAAGCCCCAAGTGATGCAGGTCTAAGACCTTTACCACTTCAGTGAAACCCATGGGCATGGGTATGGTGCTGACAAACCTAGAAACATAATTGGGGCGAACCGGGATTCGAACCCACAATCATAGGTTTCTGGCTTGCCCAAGGGACGCAACGCTGCACAGCGAATCGCGGAGCCTTAGAGGACTGGGCCACCTGTGCCCCCTAAACTTTGAGGCCTGAAACACTGGTCATCCAGTTAGTTACCAGGTTGATACTTATATAGATGTAGGTGAATTTAGATATCGGACAAACCTCAAGGATCTCAGGACAATAGTTAACCTTGAACGTTGACTTCCTCACTCTCGTGCAATGTTCTGCAGTTTGGGATCAATTACTTTGCAGTGTATGAACTTAAAGATAAAAGTCAAGTTTGTTTTTATTAGAACTCCAGATACGCTGCGTATCTGCGTGAAATACGCATCAGAAATGCAGAAATACGCAGTAAAATAAAATCCAAGCGTATCAAATACGCAACAAACATTACATATACGCTACAAAAATAAAAATTGTGCGTATCATCAAAATATTGTGAAGTAACCCTGCGTATTCGATTAGCAAATCAGCAACTTATTTTGAAATTATAAATGGGCATTCCGTCAACCTTGCCAAACTCCACGATGACACTTACATCATGATCATTTGCCATCACACTTTCTTGTGGGAGTATCGTGGTATTCTTGAGTCCTATAAAGCTCTCGAACCCAGACGACACCAGTTTGCAGGGACTAGATGAACAGTGTTTTTAGATATTTAACTTAAATACCCACATGTGTAAAAACTAGTGGGTAACAGAAATTTGAATACCCAGATTAAATTACTGATACCCAATGATTTTAAAATGCATGGGTAAAATACCCACAACACCAAAAGCTTATCCGGAGCTCTGTTTTATGTTTGAATATGTGTTTGCATACATTAATGGAACATATTGTCAGTTCAATTTCAACTTTTCTTTTTCAGCTCAGTGGTCACTCTTCTGAACCTGCTCACAGACAGTGCAAAACTGGAGAAGAGAATCAGCAGAATTTACAAGGACTTTGATAACAAATGGAGACAGAGTGTCATGACCAAAATTGGTAAGTTTTGTGAAACACAGGCATGCTGCCATGTGAATGCTGTCATGAGAATCTGTATGGTTGTTTCTGTGTACCTTAGGGTGGGCAGGGTTACCTGTATATCAGTCATTTCAAATAGCGATTTTTGTCATGTGTTTAATGTTAGACACTTGCCAAATACCTTCGAAATTCCCTATGTGTAATTCCCAAGTGCAAGTTTGTCAAGATAGAGGTTAATTCTCGGAGCATACACATTTCCCACACTTCCCTCGTCAAAATCCGGGGCCCCAACATTCCGGTGTGGTCAGTTGTTTCAAATGTGAAAGGCAAAGCCGAAGTGTGGAAGCACTTCCGTCTAAAACAACGGATTGCAAAATTGATGAACGAAATATTGTAGTCTGTCGCGAGTGAGCCTCTGAATTTATGATTTTATAATTACACAATATATTGTGATATGTATCGCAATACGGACTTATGCATTACAATATATTGTGATTCACTGTACAGCTCCTAGATTACTCCATAGTGTACACTACAGGTAGCATACAACCCCTTGAATGCTGGAATGAGAATCTATATGTTTGTTTCTGTGTACATACAGGTAGCAACTTAGCATACGACCAGGTGAATTCTATCATGAAAGTCTGGCTGGAAACTGTAAAGCAGAAGGAGGATCTACATGCCAAATGCCTTAATGCAATGTATGCTCCAAGAGGCCCAATTGAGACACTTCATATGTAAGTATTGAGCCAGATAGAGTGAGTGAGAGAGTATGGTTTTATGCTGCTTTTAGCAATATTCCATCAAAACCACAGTGGAGGACATCAGAAATGGGCTTGATGTCAATGTGGGGAATCGAAACAGGGTCCTCAGCCTGACGAGCAAATACTTTAACCACTAGGCTACTCTACTGCCCCTTGTGCCAGATAGAAATACATGTAATCATTTACTTGCAACAACCTAGAGAGTTTTAATTGTATATGATGTTGTATTCAGATTGGCTGACTGAAGTACAAATCACATGGCTATATATGTGTGCATTGTGTGACCTATCCATCACTGGTGTGTCAGGTAGTCAGTAGTGTACACGGCTGTCCTTGATAACTGACAAAGTGACATTAAACAGCTTTCACTCAATGATACTCTGTTTACTGAATACAAGCACCAGTATTCCTTCGTGTCAACTGCAACAGGATGACACAATGGCCCTTTCAGTTCTTTTTGTGGCGACTGAATGAAGTCAATTAATGTTATTGAGTTGAAATATGAACTTTGTATGCTTTTGTTCTGATTACTATATAGTTTACCTATATGTTAATAAATGTGTATCAATAAGCAACTTGTGGAATACGAGGGCTTTACCAGTTAATGTTGCCAATGTGGCCTCATTGTTGGTTGGAAGTGAACAAGTGAAAAAAATCATGAAATTTGGACTTGGGAATTTTAATATGATTTGTTTATCCAATGATAGGTCTGCTGGGAGATGTTGTGAATATAGAATATTATCACTTTGGATAGTGGTAACTAATCATTTTTCTAAAAAGGATACTCAAATAAACCAGTTTTGATACTTGGAATACACAGGGTAAACCATCAGGCCAGTGCTCATTTCTATCCCTGGTAACACGAAAATTTCATTTAAAGTTTGGGCTATTCAGAAACTTTTTCTTGCAAGTCTTGAAGAAAATGTACCTGTAGTATGGTTTTTGTTTCTTGAAATAACAACATAAGTTTTCTGTCTTTCGTGATGACTCTTGTATGGGGAAAATAGAAGAGAGAATGGACTCGCTAGGAGATTCTTTCCATTAGCCTTTTCCAAATTTTCCTAGCTGTAAATTGGTAATATTTCTAATGTCAGCCTGGGGCACGGGTGGCCAAGTCGTCTAAGGAGCCGCGATTCACTGTGCAGAGTTGCGTCACTTGGGCACGCCAGAAACCTATGATTGTGGGTTCGAATCCTGGTCCGCCCCGATTATGTTTCTAGGTTTGTCAGCACCATACCCATGCTTGTGGGTTTTACCGTGGTGGTAAACGTCTTAGACCTGCATCACTTGGGGCTTTCCTCCCACATTAAGCTGACACGCTGCGATAATACTGGAATACTGTTAAATGCAGCGTTAAACCCAACTCACACACTCACTCTTATGCAAGCTTCTCATCTTCATCTTAGGTACATCCACTCAGAAGATGTCAATGCTTCAAGGAAGGCCACTCAGTCACTCTATGAAAGGACAAAGAAGAGACAGCTTAAGCTGGAGAAGGAGATTGACCAGCTGAAAGAGGTGATTGCTTATGATCTGACAGTCTGCCAAAAACTACCCTAAAGTTTCTTTCAGCATCAATTACAGTAGATTTTAGTCATAACATGGAATATTACTAGTACTGGACTGATTTCTAAGTGAAACCAATAACCATACAATAGGATTGGGTATATTGGCTGTTTGATGTTGCAGTTCCTTCCTTTTTGTCGTAATTTCTTTCTGTGGCCATCAGGCACTCAATTCATGAATGGCTTTGATGTAGGCTTTGTATTACAAAATCACAGGGAAGTACCTTATTTTTTTTAATAAAGTGGTTGTTTTTCAATTAGAGTCAATGTTGAACTGCTGATGTGTGCAGAAAGGCGATTCCTTTGCAGTGCATTTAGGCCATGTGACTTGAGGTCCTCCAGCCTTTTGGTGTGACTTGATGACTACCTTTAAGAAGGTTAACATTCATCATCACGGATAATGGTCTGGATTACAAGTCTCTGTTCTAGTCTGTCAATAAAACAGACCATGAAAACAAAACAAGCCTGTCACTGGGCTTATTCCTCCATTCTATTCCAGGACTTTTACCTGTCAAAGGACAAGGCAGTTGACTTCAAGCCACAGCTGGATGAAGCATTCAGAGAGAGGGAGGATAATCCTACCAAATTCCAGGTTCTCTTGGGCCACTGGCAGAAACTGGAGGCTGAATCTAAGGAGGCCAAGACATCCTACAAACAAAAACTGCATGAGGAAAAATCCCAACGAATGACTTTCATAGAAGTAGGGACAAAAAGATAAAAACATATTTTCATTCGTGACTTTGAAAAATTTAATTGTATTATCCGAGTACCTGTTTATGATAATATCACCTTTATGTCAGAGTCACCACGCTTATGTAGTCATGCTTGATTGCTTCACTTAATAAGGGGGATCTGTCATGCATTGATGAACGCACTTTTTTGTGAAATATTTGCCTGTAAAATGAATGTATGGTACCGTATATGACCGCGTATAAGCCGAATTTTGAGGACCAGAAAAAAGATTCTGTAGAAAGGGGTCGGCTTATCCACGGGATACACTTTCATGATAGTATTTTTCAGATCGTGATCTGTCAGAAACATCGCCTTAATGACGGTCCGATTTATCATAACTTCCCGAAAGTTTGGAAGTTGCCACGACTAGAGCCATTATTGTTATAAATTATCAATAAAGTTATTATTATACACCAATGTTGTCATTATTAAAAAAATGTTATGCATGTTACTACTTCCGATAATAAGTTTTCAATTGAATGTTCAAAGTTTATCGTTCTTCGTAAACTCGACAATTTTTACATGTAACAATATATGTAATTCACAGCTATAATATATAATCCCCAGATGAAATCGCCAATAGCTATTACGTACGTTTTTCAAAGTTCATAAATTGATAGTGAACAAGTGTCTACCTTTATTGAAAGAGGCAAATAAACAACTGTATCGGGCGAGTTATTCCGTTCGCCATTTGCAAAAACATGTGATCAGCTGTTTCCTGTGACGTCACAAACGGTGACCACTGTGATTGCTTCCTGTTGTTTAAAAAGCAACACGGTACACAAGAAAATGAGCATTGATAATAACGGGCCGATTGGTATTGTCATGTTGTTTACACAAACATTTTCAAGTTGTGGGTGCTTAGCGATCGTGTTGGGAGTAGGAGCTTAATTCCTTTGTTTTCGAGAGATTAGTTTAATAAACTGGAGAAGCCTGTGAGTAAGTGATGGTCATTCAATGGGTTCATAGTATGATAGTTTATTTAATTCAATTGGATTAACATGTACAATAGTGGTGTAAAGGGGGTTATAAAAGTTGGTATATTTTTACTGACTGACATTCTCCAACGAAAACGCCATGCTTACGATGTTGAATTCAAACTGCGAGTCTTCGATTTAGCTGATATATTTTCTCACGGGTTCATAATTCTATATACACCGATTCACAAAATGGTTGTTGTTGATGGCAACATATAACGATCATTATGAGATTAAAAAAACCCACGAGAAACAGCTTCCCACATTATGAAAGTGGATGACTGGTTTGTTAAATCTTTATTAGAAATAATAATGACTTTTTCAATATAATTACAACATTTTTCATCTTATATTTTTGAAAATCTGCGAGTACACCGGCACATGTCTTGCAGTCCGACTTGGCAGTGTTTTTTTGCCTTTCAATTCCTGGTTCGGCTTATCTGCGGGTCATATCATTTTCTTTCGTATTTCAATGGTCAAGTTAACACATCGGCTTATCTGCGGGGTCGGCTTATCCGCGGTCATATACGGTAGATATAACTTATGAAATTTTTTAATGATGGATACAAGTTAATGTTGTGTGGTTGATGGTTTTGGGGTAAGACTTTAGCACACTAGCAGATGGAAGATCGTGTTGATAGGACACAGCCAATATGATCTCAGGCTTTTTACCTCAATTTGTGTTTGACTATGGTTTTGGAATTCTATCAGAATCATGAGTGATACTTGTTTCAGGAAATGAAAAGATTCCAGAAGGATTCTGACGCCTATGAGATGGTTCGTCTTGAAAACCTCCAGTCTGTTTTGGGCTTGATGTTGAAGTGCAACAAATCAGTAGAGATTCAGAGGTGAGGCTTTACAGTATTGTGTTTTCCCAGGTATGCTTCTGGTATGCCTGAAACAGTAATTATAACTGGCATTTATAGTGTTATAGTGTCACATAAAATAACAGTTTCTATAATCCATAATCTTGGTTTTTAACTCTCTGATTGACTTTCCTAAAATGACTCCTTTGAAGGTCATGATGGGTCTTTGCTTTTGGAAATGGCAAGACTCTGAACACAGTATTTACATATCAACTCACTGGGTTTTCAATCACTGTCTTCAATCACTTTGGGTAGGGTGGTGGGATTTCGTATGCAGACTTGATATTTTTTTCAGCTACAGCTGCAAAACCTGATTTATTTATTAGTTAAAACAAGGAACCTAAATATTCTTCTTTCCTTTTTTGTGGCATTATTATTTTTTTCGAGCGCTTTCTGGTAAAATAAATTGTTTTCGATAAAATCCCAGACCCACCCCACAAGAATATGAAATGGCCTGGCCCTACAACTTGAGCATGTTGAGGCATTATGTAAGTACCATTTACATTTCTTATTTCAGGAAAGAGACACTGAAGCCAGTATTTGATGAAGGTATCTCCGATCTTGACAGGTTGAACATTGAGAGAGAAATTGCCCTCTTCAACCAGTTCTATGTGTATGAGCACAAGTTTCCACAGGACGAGGTGAGTTTAGCATCACAGACACCCTTGTGAATACCAGCTTGAAAAATGATAGGGGTGGAGGTGGTAGGTGGGGGTAGTGGGCGGATCTTGTTACACATACTGTATGTTGCCTGTGTTGAAAGTCTGAACCAGATGCTCTAAATTCTGAATAGAATATTTGAAAATTTTATGACAGTTCAATTGTTCAGATTTCTTAAACACAACACATTATTGTTGTGATTCCCTTTATTGTAGCATCATAATAGGCAAGTTAAAAATGATCAAGTGATATTGTTTTTTTTTCAAGTTTGCTCATCCCTGCAGTGAATTATTAATTTAGTATTGATATCTGTGATTTTGTATCGATATAGCATCGATATTACAAATATGTCGATACATCAGTACAACAATCTAAAATAACATCTCTGGTATGTAGTATAACTTGGATTGTACTGATACAGCTTCACCCATCTGAAATCAAGGCAGAGAAGAAATCTGGCAAGGAATCATCTAAGAAGGCATCCAAATCCAAGGACAATGATATTGTGTAAGTCTCAGTAGCTTTAAGTAATGGATGTTTCCAAAATGTTTTCTGGCAGTAGTTTACATTTGTGTGAACATTCAGTCTGGAATGGTGATAATTCAGTTTTCTATGTTCGAAAAGAATACAAGTCAAGGGGTCCATTTCCATAATACTAATGTTAGTAATTAAATATTTGGTGGTTCCCAGATTAACATACCATAGTAGAAAATCTCAAGGACCCCAGAATCCCGTATATTGTACTTATGTACAATTCTATGTGTAACACAAACTCTTGTATTCCTACAGAAGACTATTTACAATTCATACATATGCATCATTTGTTATATTTTTATGAACAAATTCTTACAAGATCATCAGTGCTATTCTTCTATAAGCATTGGTAAAATAAAAAAGAAGAAATTTCATTTAATGTTATGTTTACCTGAAATGTGGATATGGTTATGATACCGTCTGAGCTGTTTTGTCATTTGTTTATGTTTGTTGCAGCCAAGTCCTGCCAGCCAAAGACAACACCACTGTGTTTGTACAGACCAGGGTAGACTCGGATGATGACATGGGTGAGTATTTTAGCCTTAAGCAATGCAAGTGGGTAATGACTGGTTTTTGAGAAAAACACTTGACATGGATGTGTCAGCTGTTGTGTATGGGGTGTGTCAGGGTGTATGGGGTGTGTCAGGGTGTATGGGGTGTGGCAGGGTGTGTCAGGGTGTATGGGGTGTGGCAGGGTGTATGGGGTGTGGCAAGGTGTATGGGGTGTGGCAGAGTGTATGGGGTGTGGCAAGGTGTATGGGGTGTGGCAGAGTGTATGGGATGTAGCAGGCTGTATGGGGTGTGGCAGAGTGTATGGGGTGTGGCAAGGTGTATGGGGTGTGGCAGAGTGTATGGGGTGTGGCAGGGTGTATGGGGTGTGGCAAGGTGTATGGGGTGTGGCACAGTGTTTAGGGTGTGGCAGAGCGTATGGGGTGTGGCAGGGCGTATGGGGTGTGGCAGAGTGTATGGGGTGTGGCAGGTTGTATGGGGTGCAGGGTGTATGGGGTGTGGCAGAGTGTATGGGGAGTGGCAGGTTGCATGGGGTGTGGCAGGCTGTATGGGGTGTGGCAGGTTGTATCGGATGTGGCAGGCTGTATGGGGTGTGGCAAGGTGTATGGGGTGTTGCAGAGTGTATGGGGTGTAGCAGGGTGTATGGGGTGTGGCAGACTGTATGGGGTGTGGCGGGGTGTATGGGCCAGACAAACCAGTGGTTGATACTATGAGCAGCGTAACATGTATGGTGACACCCTATCAGCCAAGTGACCAGACCACCAGATCAAATTTGGTCATCTCTTTATAACAAGCAATACGGCTAGGGACATATTCTCAATGTCCTTGGTGTTTTATATGTCATGGTGCTCTGATGGGAGACCACCTTTGGTAGACGCACATCAATGTCTTGGGTGATTTGTGTTTCATGGTGCTCTAATGGGAGATCACCCATGCTAGGCCTGCACCAATGTCTTGAATGTAGTGTGTGTCATGGTGCTCTAATGGGAGACCACCTTTGGTAGACACACACCAATGTCGTTGGTGATTTGTGTGTCATGGTGGTCTAATGGGAGACCACCTTTGGTAGACCCGCACAAATGTTGTTGGTGATTTGTGTGTTATGGTGCTCTAATCGGAGACCACCTTTGCTAGACCCACACCAATGTCGTTGGTGATTTGTGTGTCATGGTGCTCTAATGGGTGATATCCTTCGGTAGACACACACCAATGTCCTGGATGTTGTGTGTGTCATGGTGCTCTAATGGAGACACCACCATTGGTAGACACACACCAATTTCCCTGTGTCATGGTGCTCTAATTGGAGACGACCTTTGTTAGACGCACATCATTGTCCCTTTGTCAAGGTGCTCTAACGGGAGACCACATTTAGTAGACACACATCAATGTCCCTGTGTCGTGCTCTAATGGATGACCACCTTTGGTAGACACACACCAATGGCCTTGATGTAGTGTGTCATGGTGCTCTAATGGGTGATCACCTTCGGTAGACACACATCAATGTCCCTGGTGATTTGTGTGTCATGGTGCTCTAATGGGAGACCACCTTTGGTAGACACACATCAATGTCTCTGTAGACACACATCAATGTCTCTGTGTCGTGCTCTAATGGGAGACCACCTTTGGTAGACACACACCAATGTCCCTGTGTCACGGTGCTCTAATGGGAGACCACCTTTGGTAGACACACATCAATGTCTCTGTGTCGTGCTCTAATGGGAGACCACCTTTGGTAGATGCACATCATTGTCAATGTGTCATTGTGCTCTAATGGGAGACCACCTTTGGTAGACACACACCAATGTCCCTGTGTCACGGTGCTCTAATGGAAGACCACCTTTGGTAGACACACACCAATGTCCCTGTGTCACGGTGCTCTAATGGGAGACCTCCTTTGGTAGATGCACATCATTGTCCATGTGTCATTGTGATCTAATGGGAGACCACCTTTGGTAGACGCACATCATTGTCCCTGTGTCACGGTGCTATAATGGGAGACCTCCTTTGGTAGACGCACACCTATGTCCTAGATGTAGTGTGTGTCATGGTGCTCTAATGGGAGATCACCTTCGGTAGACACACACCAATGTCCTGGATGTAGTGTGTGTCATGGTAGTCCAATGGGAGACCACCCTTGGTAGAGGCACACCAATGTCCTGGATGTTGTGTGTGTCATGGTGCTCTAATGGAGACACCACCATTGGTAGACACACACCAATGTCCCTGTGTCACGGTGCTCTAATGGGAGACCACCTTTGGTAGATGCACATCATTGTCCCTGTGTCATGGTGCTCTAATGGGAGACGACCCTTTGTAGACACACACCAATGTCCTGGATGTTGTGTGTGTCATGGTGCTCTAATGGAGACACCACCATTGGTAGACACACACCAATTTCCCTGTGTCATGGTGCTCTAATGGGAGACCACCTTTGGTAGACGCACATCATTGTCCCTGTGTCACGGTGCTCTAATAGGAGACCTCCTTTGGTAGACACACACCAATGTCCTGGATGTTGTATGTCTCATGGTGCTCTAATGGGAGACCACCTTTGGTAGACGCACATCAATGTCCATGTGTCATGGTGCTCTAATGGGAGACCACCTTTGGTAGACGCACATCATTGCCACTGTGTCACGGTTCTCTAATGGGAGACCTCCTTTGGTAGACGCACATCATTGTCCCTGTGTCACGGTGCTCTAATGGGAGACCACCTTTGGTAGATGCACACCAATGTCCCTGTGTCACGGTGCTCTAATGGGAGACCTCCTTTGGTAGATGCACATCATTGTCCATGTGTCATTGTGCTCTAATGGGAGACCACCTTTGGTAGACACACACCAATGTCCTGGATGTTGTGTGGGTCATGGTGCTCTAATCGGAGACCACCTTTGCTAGACCCGCACCAATGGTGTTGGTGATTTGTGTGTCATGGTGCTCTAATGGGAGACCACCTTTGGTAGATGCACACCAATGACCTGGATGTAGTGTGTGTCATGGTGCTCTAATGGGAGATCACCTTCGGTAGACACACACCAATGTCCTGGATGTAGTGTGTGTCATGGTGGTCCAATGTGAGACCACCTTTGGTAGAGGCACACCAATGTCCTGGATGTTGTGTGTGTCATGGTGCTCTAATGGAGACACCACCATTGGTAGACACACACCAATTTCCCTGTGTCATGGTGCTCTAATAGGAGACGACCTTTAGTAGACACACATCAATGTCCCTGTGTCGTGCTCTAATGGGAGACCACCTTTGGTAGACACACACCAATGTCCCTGTGTCACGGTGCTCTAATGGGAGACCACCTTTGGTAGACGCACATCATTGTCCCTGTGTCACGGTGCTCTAATGGGAGACCACCTTTGGTAGATGCACATCATTGTCCCTGTGTCATGGTGCTCTAATGGGAGACGACCCTTTGTAGACACACACCAATGTCCTGGATGTAGTGTGTGTCATGGTGCTCTAATGGAGACACCACCATTGGTAGACACACACCAATTTCCCTGTGTCATGGTGTTCTAATGGGAGACGACCTTTGGTAGACGCACATCATTGTCCCTGTGTCACGGTGCTCTAATGAGAGACCTCCTTTGGTAGACACACACCAATGTCCTGGATGTTGTATGTCTCATGGTGCTCTAATGGGAGACCACCTTTGGTAGACGCACATCAATGTCCATGTGTCATGGTGCTCTAATGGGAGACCACCTTTGGTAGACGCCCTCATTGCCCCTGTGTCACGGTTCTCTAATGGGAGACCTCCTTTGGTAGACACACACCAATGTCCTGGATGTTGTATGTCTCATGGTGCTCTAATGGGAGACCACCTTTGGTAGACGCACATCAATGTCCATGTGTCATGGTGCTCTAATGGGAGACCACCTTTGGTAGACGCCCTCATTGCCCCTGTGTCACGGTTCTCTAATGGGAGAACTCCTTTGGTAGACGCACATCATTGTCCCTGTGTCACGGTGCTCTAATGGGAGACCACCTTTGGTAGATGCACATCATTGTCCATGTGTCATTGTGCTCTAATGAGAGACCACCTTTGGTAGACACACACCAATGTCCTGGATGTTGTGTGGGTCATGGTGCTCTAATCGGAGACCACCTTTGCTAGACCCGCACCAATGGTGTTGGTGATTTGTGTGTCATGGTGCTCTAATGGGAGCCCACCTTTAGTAGATGCACATCAATGTCCCTGTGTTGTGCTCTAATGGATGACCACCTTTGGTAGAGGCACACCAATGTCCCTGTGTCACGGTGCTCTAATGGGAGACCACCGGCAATCTGTCTTGGTTGCATTGTATGTCATTGTACTTTGTAGCTTTAGAATGAAATTGTCATTTTTGTATCCATAACACAAAATGCAGAAACCTCCATGAAATACAATGGTATTTGAAGGGCTATCAATGATTTGAAATTTCAGTATCAGTGAATCTGATAAAAAATATCAGGATATATAGATTAGAAAATCAATGTTAACATATATGTTAGGTTTATGCATAAGTCAGTGGGGATGTTGATCATATTTCTTAGTCCTACTCTCCTGTGGTGATTAAAGGGATTGGGTGGTCAGGCTCTGTGACTTGGTTGATTATGTGTCATCGATCCCACTGTCAGGGGATGGTGCTCATAGTATCAATCACTGGTTTGTTTTGTCCTGACAACTGCTTAGTCAGTGTTACTTTTTAGATTTTCTATTGAATTACAAAGCACTTAAACAAAATTTTGTTAATGTTTAATAATTGGATCAGTAGTCTCAATTTGTGTTTCTTTTACAATTATTAGGAGATATATACGATTTTCAACAGAAGATTTTTAAATCAATTTTTTTCACAAGCACGTAATCAACCTGTAACAATGTGCTTTGGTTCATATTGCAGATCCTAAGAGCTGGTAGAGCTTATGCACAGTTTTAATGCAACTTTATTTCTTCAGACTCATGGAAGCATTCGCGTCCAGTGACTCTCACTGCCCCGAGGCCGGTGATTACACGCTACCTGCCTGATGTTGAGATTCCAAACATTGTGTCAGAGAGTATACCAGACGCAGCTCCCATCAGAAAGGAGACCATTGTGGAAAATTATATGAGCCTCTGTAAGTATTATATGTTGTTCTTAAGGAAGTTCGAGTTAGTTGGAGTCTTATTTCACTGATCGAAATTCACTAATAACATGGAAAACTGCAGTGCCTAACACAATTCTCCTACCATTGCTCTTCCTATCAGATAGAATATGAGTTGTTTGTTAGGTAAGACACCGAATCTGTAACTACGTTATCCTTATCACCTAAGGCTGTTTAAGGTGCACATCATTGTGCAGATCTTGGAATAATCAGTGTGCATACACACATCACAAAGCTGTGTCATGTTCAGGGAATGACAGTGTTACATTGACCACTTGTCTGTTACTCTGAGTGAAAATCTAGAGGGACTAGTTGTTCTCTCAAGAATCTACCAGTAGTTGTTTTCTATGGACTATGCCGCTAAAATTGGTGTGGACTAGCTGACTATGACCATTGATGCAGCAATAGAAACTAACGGTTTTTGTCTGCTAGTCCTTATAATGATATACAGGGTTCACTCTAGGAATTTTCTGACATTTCATATATATTCCAGAGGTACACCCACACTTGCCCACACAGCACAATGTTAAAATGCCCCATTGTATTTGAAAATGTGGGCCTTTTTTTCAAATTAAGGGGTTAAAAAGCACAAGGCCCCACCCTAGAATTATCCCTGCACAAAGCAAACCCTAAATAATAGCAAATTTCTACTTGTCGTCATGATACCTTTACTGTTGGGTACTTTGGCAAGGACTATAGGACAAGTACCAATTTCTAACACTGTTGATGTCTATTGAATGAGGCTGCGTTAGGTTTGAGTTCAATATGGAAATGAAATCTACAAGATCAAACTTACATATGAACACAAACACAATTGTCATGAAATGTGTTGATTCCTGTTTCAGCGGAGTCTGACTCTGATGACGAGGCAGTGTCTCCATCACTTCCAATGTCACAATCCACTGACCCCAGATGCGTCATGAAACCTGTGACAGGCCAGAAGATCAAAGTGTATGCTCTGAAGGACTTCACTGCTCGCTCAAAGGATGAACTGACATTCAAAGCAGGTAGGTTGATAGAATTGAAGGTGTTTGTCATTGTCATGACTACATCTGGCTTTGTTACATATGTTGACTTCCTTAAAAGACTATTCTAAAAAAGAACTATGTATTGAGCCAATGATGTTTAATAATTGAAACATTATTAGCATAATTGACCAAAGGCTTTAACAAAAAGTATATTAGCATTAGAAACTAACATTTTTAATCCACTAGTCCTTATAATGATACCTTAAAAGGGGAAAAATTCTACTTGTACTTATGATACCTTAACTATTGGCCAGTTTGGCAAGGACTATAAACTGGTGACAATTTCTAACACTGTATATATATGTCAGAACCAAGGGAATGATGTGACACAACAATAGTTTCGTACAGTATCTCAGTGGACTGTTTGGAATGAGTTCAGATAATACCGTCCAATAAGGACCATAAGACCATTTGTGATAATGGACATTAAGTTTTTCAACATGTTGATTCATTGAGTATGGTTTTACGCTGCTTTTAGTAATATTCCAGCAATATCACGGCGGGGGTCACCAGAAATGGGCTTCACACATTGTAGGCATATGGGGAATCGAACCCAGGCCTTTGGCATGACGAGCGAACGCTCCAATCACTAGGCTGCCCCACCGCCCCTTATTTAACATCACATTCTGAACATTTGTCACTCACTACTGATCCAGTGGCTGTATTTTTGCTGACAGGTGTATAACACTCTCACTCACTTTCTCCACCCTCAAACCAGCTCAGCCATCCCATGTTCTTTACCTTTGCTCTGAAATTATATTGTAATATCAGTATTGTAATGTGATCTGCAAATATTTCAAATTCCAACTGAGCTGAAGAGTCCCATTGTTTTATTTGTCCTCATTTTGAATTTTACAGGACAAAAGATTTACATCAGTGATCACGAATCAGCTGCTGGTGGCCGTGCCTATGGATACATCAAGAAGGGCAAGCTGATCAAGAAAAAGAAATATGGCTTCTTTCCGGAACAGCTGATCAGCACAACTAAGTTAAAAGTCAAGCATTCAATCCTGAAGAAGAAATCCTCCAAGAAGGGTACTGAGGATAGTAAGAAATCTTAGATATATTTACAGATGGTTTTTCCTGACGGACCTGGCTATGAACTCGATAACGACTTGGAACTGTGAAATGTTTTTTTATATTTGTTGATTTGTTTTTACATGGATATATTGTTGACTGTTCTTATATGAACAGTGTATTTGATCTGTGATATTTCTTTGATAGTATTTAATGATATACAGATTATTGTATGTAGGGATGGTTTGAGATGTGATTTATTTGAGTATTTTATAAGAATACACAATCATTTTCTGATGCTGATTGATTATGTGATTAACAAGGCTCAGTCATAAGAAATGACGTTTTTGAATGATATGTTTTGGATCAATATATAATATACTATGATAATGCATTAAGTTTTAATTTGAAAGATACCTGGGTATATATGGCATAGAACATTCTATTTTAAGGGATAAATTGTGTATTGTTATGACCACATGTTGAACCTTAAAGCATCACTGGGTAATTTATTGTCTTGTGTGGGTCCAGTTTTCTAGACTGTTGTCATTTTGTGAAAGTTAAAGTTTTCATCTGAATTTCAAATTCAATAAATGTGTATTCTAAAATTGAATACAATTGTATTCAATAATATGTAACTAAAATTACAAAGTATCAATATTTCTGATGTTATCATGTTTCTTTCTGATGTTGTTCACAAAATCTCTATCACTCAAGAAATTTGTAGATGATTGAAGAAATGTTCATTCAATTCCAATTCAGACAGAAAATCTAAGATGGGACTGTACTTGTTATTGAGTTAAAGGGGGGCTTGTCTCTATCATTAGACAGGAAGGCCAGTGACTATTTAAGGCTGTCATTGCAACCTGAAATGCCTATGGTGGGAAGCAAAGTACCTCCAGGTGGACAAGGGTCAATGACCTGAAATGCCTGTGGTGGGAAGCAAAGTACCTCCAGGTGGACTAGGGTCAACTACCTGAAATGCCTGTGGTGGGAAGCAAAGTACCTCCAGGTGGAGTAGGGTCAATGACCTGAATTGCCTGTGGTGGGAAGCAAAGTACCTCCAGGTGGACTAGGGTCAACGACCTGAAATGCCTGTAGTGGGAAGCAAAGTACCTCCAGGTGGAATAGGGTCAACGACCTGAAATGCCTGTGGTGGGAAGCAAAGTACCTCCAGGTGGACTAGGGTCAATGACCTGAAATGCCTGTGGTGGGAAGCAAAGTACCTCCAGGTGGACTAGGGTCAACGACCTGAAATGCCTGTGGTGGGAAGCAAAGTACCTCCAGGTGGAGTAGGGTCAACGACCTGAAATGCCTGTGGTGGGAAGCAAAGTACCTCCAGGTGGAATAGGGTCAACGACCTGAAATTCCTGTGGTGGGAAGCAAAGTACCTCCAGGTGGAGTAGGGTCAACGACCTGAAATGCCTGTGGTGGGAAGCAAAGTACCTCCAGGTGGAGTAGGGTCAACGACCTGAAATGCCTGTGGTGGGAAGCAATGTACCTCCAGGTAGAGCAGGCTTGGGCCGCCAGTCTAATTGGACAGGCCCCCATGTAGGAAATGACAGACTCTTCACATCCAGAGATGAGTCAATGAGTTCTTACAGCAAAAGGATGTACTAACATGTGAGATTGATGAGAGACGTCAAGTTCCTCCTTTGAACTGACTGTGGTTAGTGCAGATTTGTAGTTAGGTGTAGGAAGGGGTTCTACGGACAGACTTCTTGACAGACATCCTTTTTTTAGCCCCAACCCCCCTCTTCTGAAACCTTCTACGATTTGCTTGAGCGATGATGAATGGTCATCGGCAGGAACTTGATGTTGACCGGAGGTCACACATGTTTAGAGGATTCGTTTGCAGTGAGCATTCTGATTGATATGTCTTTGTGACGAGAAGTTTCAGTTGTTCCGACATATTTATAAATTTTTTCATTCTGGTCTATTCAGGTAAATACAATTTCCAATTTAAGTCCCACTTTCTTTTCTTGTCTACAGATTTCTTGAAATTGTTTATCAAATACGTGCATCACCTTGTATGAGAGCCATGAACAACATGAGATGTGTTTATTGCTTTGTATTGTACACCACAAGTTTAACAGAAGGACCCACTGTCATAACCATTCCCAGGTATCTAAAAACATTCATATAGGGTAATAACCCCCAAAAGGATGTTTTCACCAAGATATATAATATTTTGGATAATATGTCTTGTTCATTCCAGTATGTTGTTGGTATTATAAAAATATTTGAAAAAATTTGATAACATAAATTTCATCAAAACATTTTCTATTGATTGTGATATATATGTATATTTCTGCTGGAGCAATCTCTTGTTTTTTTGAAGATTGTACTGCCACAATGTGCTTTGCACAACCTGTGCATAATATATGTCTTTTTTTGTCCAGTATGGTTGTCTAAAAATATTTGAAAAACATGTGATAACATAAACTTTATCAAAACATTTTCTGTTGATTGTTTGTGATATATTGTCTTTTACATGTATATTTCTGCTGGATCAATCGCTTGCTTTTTTGAAGATTGTACTGCCTCAATGTGCTTTACACAACCTGTGCATAATATATGTCTTTTCTGTCCAGTAAGGTAGCATAAAAATATTTGAAAAAAATGTGATAACATTAACTTTATCAAAACATTTTCTGTTTATTGTTTGTGATATTGTCATTTACATGTATATCATGTATATTTTTGCCAGAGCAATCCCTTGCTAGTTTGAAAGATTTTACTGCCTCAATGTGCTTTTACACTACTGGGGATGTATAGATGGATAATCATATTGGTGAACAATGGTGATGATCTTACTGATGATGATGTGCAAGGTTGCATAGATATATGGATATAGTTGTGCAATAGCAATGTGTTGATATTAATGAACAGGTTGCTGTGCCTGTCAAGAGGACAGTATGATGCCTTTCACTCCATATGGTGCTGCTTCAGATGGCTTACAATATTGGTCTACAATGATGATGATGGAATGATAATGATGCATCTTTGCATATTGTTGATGGATATATATATATGTACATGCCAATGAAACGTGGCATATGCATTGCTCAACAGCATAACTGGTGCCTTTTGCTATTTATATTTTTTTCTAAATTATATTTTCTCATGCTTCCATGGAAACAATTTAGACTTAGTCTCAAATGAGGGTCGGGTTTGTGAAAAACATTGAACATATTTCAATGAAACTTGGCATATGCATTGCTCATCAGCTTAACTGGTGCCTTTAGCTATTTTGATTTTTTTTCTAAATTTTATTTTGTTATGTTTACATGGAAACAATTTGGACTTAGTCTCAAACAACTCTAATGGATGTTTTTGCGTGAAACATGTGAATAACTCAATTCTAAAATATTGCTTTAAATACTAAGAATTATCTGTTGATAGAAATGTTTTTGGTTATATGTCTGGATGGTATTGGCTAAACCTCCTTTGTAGGTCTCTTGCAGAGAGTTTCATAATGTGCAATATAAAAAGGATGATATTTTTGTCTCAAACTGGTATTTAAACTTGCAATGTACTATATTCATGAACATCATATAATACTCATTATCTCTCTCAAGAGGATGTCATGTAACGTTATACGGTGCTAAATTTTGTTATATCTTGAAATACGAGATATTCTGTGCTAGTGTGTTTCACATTAGCAACAATAAAACTATGAAACAATCATCTTGTTCTTTTTTATTTATCGGACTCTTGGCTTAAGAGGTTGTAGATAAAATCTAAAGAATAATTACTGGATCTTAGCCAAAGTTTGTTTTGTTTGTTTGTTTGTTGTTTAACGCCGCACAGAGTAATGTATGCCAGTGGTTTGTAAATAATCAAGTCTGGACCACACAATCCAGTGATTGACATCATGAGCATCGATCTATGCATTTGGGTAACGATCTCATGCATCAACCATGTCACCGATGTCTGACCACCTGATCCCATTAGCCGCTTCTTTTACGACAAGCATGGATTGCTGAAGATCAGTACTAAACTGATTCTTTATTTGTATTTCGCATGCCATCCATACAATATGCCAGACCAGACGCAAGCCGAATATACACATATTTGGACGGCATGCCATACAGAAATACTGCAAGCAATACAGTATGCCGTCACCATGGTAAATGGATCAGTGAAGAGGAGTGGTGTATCAATGCCTATCACATTAGACCCATTCCTTATATCATCTTAGAATTTGAACCAGTACCAAATAATTCATATGACCCATATGCCATGAGAGTGAACGTGCCAAATGTGACCACACCAGCATTCATGAGTTCAGGGGGAACACTCAGCCATATTCCAGCTATATGACATCTTCCCGAGGCAAAGGAGTTAACTGACTCTAAAAGTCCAGTTGCCACATGGAAACTGGACTTTACAGTCAGTTATCTACCTTGCCTTCGGAAGATGGCTACGTGACAGCGGTCTGTAAATAATCGAGTCTGAACCAGACAATTCAGTCACTGACATGAGAATCGATCCACGCAATTGGGATACGATGACATGCATCAACTAAGACAGCGAGCCTGACCACCCGATCCTGTTATTAGTCGCCGCTTACGACAAGCATAGTCGCCTTTTACGGCAAGCTTTGGTTGCTGAAGACCTATTCTACCCCGGATCTTCAGGGGTCCCATTGAATGTGAAAAATGAAAAGTAACACCACCCATGGTCCTGAATTCATAAAAATAAAATAAAAACCCTACCCCCATCCCACCATCCACATACTGTCAGTTCCTCAAAGCCCAAAATTCAAATTCTACTATCTCTCTCTCTGCCCCTTCTTAGACTACTGACCGCCTCCGTGGTCTAGTGGTAGAGCCTCCGCCCGGAGAGCGGAAGATCCGGGGCTCGATCCTCGGCCGCGTCATACCATAAGACATTAAAAGATGGTACTAGTTGTTACCCTGTCTGGCGCTCGGCATAATGGGGCTAAAACAAGGACTGGGCGGCTCGGAGTCAGTATACTGTGTCTGAGTGGGGTTTTCATGTTTAACTGCGGCATGGTATCTCAGTGAGCTAGCACTATAAATCCAGGGTTAGAAACTAAGTGTTTTTGTCCACTAGTCCTTATAATGATAACATATAGCAAAACCATTAAAAATGGCAAATTTCTACTAGTCCTTAGGATACCTTAACTATTTGGCAGTTTGGCAAGGACTACAGGACTAGTGCCAATTTCTAACGCTGTAAATCGACATCAGTCCGGACTAGTACAAGCAATGCACGTCGCTATATAAGTGCAATGCTCTTGGAAACGACATTAACTCCATTTCACCTCACCTCACCGCTAAGACTGCTACCCTCTGACAACACACAGCTCGCTTCCCTTCATTCATGTGTAGGCCATTGTCACCTGGGACAATGCCATTGTCCGACAGCATTATTCTCATTCTGTTTCTGGTCAGAAGCTGGAGACGAAATTCATGGCAAAAACTGTTATTTCCCCATCATTACTTTTTGAAACCTGGTTTCCACGTTAACGTTTATTGTTTGGCATTCTTCTGAAAGCGTCTACTGGGACAAGTTCGACACAAATTTACTTGTTCAGTCCTCTGAACCTCCATAAATATATTGTCACGGGTTGATGCATGTCATCGTATCGCAATTGCGTTGATCGATGCTCATATCAATCACTGGATTATCTGGTTATTTACAGACCGCCGTCACACGTTAAACAAAAAACAAACACACAAATATTGTGATGGGTCAGATGGATTGTATAAGTATACGCTTCCGAGTAACACGTGACAATTCATTTTTCAAACTTTATTTTTGAAAGATGAAAATCTTGTAAGCACGCCTCAGCTTCCAACGTCTTACTTCCGTAGTTTTGTAAGGATGGGAAGCTCTACTTCGCGTCTGGCTTCTCACTTCCGTAAGTATGTTTTAGGAAATGGAAACCTTTAATTAAAGGTATAAACTTTCTATTTCAGGGGTATTGGAAGCTAATATGACGGTGGCCCCTTTCCCGTTAATTAACCCCCTTCAAAAATAACATTTTATGCTCGTTTTATATATATGCACTTGCAGTATTGGTAATACACTTGTTACCCCTTATGTATATAACCTAAGTGAAAATTTGCCAACAATCTCATGTTCTAAAATATGTAAACAGAATATTTATTTTTGAAATAGCAAGTGTCAAATATTTTACGTGCGCTTCAAATCGCAACCATTATAGTGCCACTGAAATCGGTTTCACACAATGTGCCGACCATCTTCCCGAGGCAACTGACTATAAAAGTCCAGTTTCCACCCTTGCCGAAATAGGCTGGAATTCCTGGGGTCGATCGTAGCGCCACCAGTGGCTATTACCAGTTATGTCCCTTCTAAGCCTCTCCTATGGACCGTGTGAAGCCCATTTCTGGTGTCCCCCGCCGTGATATTGCTGGAATATTGCTAAAAGCGGCGTAAAACCATACTCAGTCAGTCAGTCTCCTATGGACCAATCAGATTCCACCTCTCGTATCACTTGTATTTACTTTAAAAAAATGGAGGCGCCCAGTCAAGACGATCTGATCGATAATCAAGATCTATATTGTGATAAAACGGATCTTACATCGCGAAGTGCATCAAATCACGTGAGCACCTTGATTAAAACATGAAAAGATTTGGAAAATATCTGTTGACAACGAGTTGGCGGTGCACATGCTTTCCAAATCTTGCAATCGGCCGAAATCTGCACGGCAGTTTACGAACCGGATTTCGATTTCGTTGCGCGATTTTGATTGGACTATGCATAGACTCGTTAGTCCAGCTGTAATGTAACTCCATAATACCAGCCTAGTTCGGCAAGGGTGGAAACTGGGCTTTTATAGTCAGTAAACCCTCTTGCCTCGGGAAGATGTGTGCCGACCACGGGAATAGAACCAGGGACCTGTTGCACACGAGGCCGACAATTTATCTGTCCCGCCGCCAATAGTTTTATAGTTCAATGTGCAAATATGTAAAAATTATGTTCTTACTCACATAAACAGTATGTGATAATTCTGCACCGCGTAATAAAAATGTATATCCGTTAAAATATGTACGCGTAATTCACATATGACGAGAAATAATAGATTGGGTTCCTGTTATATAGTTTGACCATACATTATTAGAATGAGAAAATTGTAAATTATTCATTTATTAAGCCATAGACGTAGAGATAAGTTTGGTCAAACAAACAGTGCTTTCATGAAGCTACAAAACAATAACTATTCAATAGTTGATCAGACCACCTCTTTTCCCAATACGTGCCTTAATGCGGCCAGGCATCCCGCCTGTCATGTTTTGGTTTGTTTGTTTGTTGTTTAACGCCGCACTCAGCAATACTACAGCTATATGACGAGTCTGAACCAGACAATCCAGTGATTGACATGAACATCGATCCACGCAATTGGGATACGATGACATGCATCAACCAAGTCAGCGAGCCTGACCACCCGATCCCGTCAGTCGCCTCCTAAGACATGTGTAGTCGCCTTTAACTGCTGCCTTTCAAGGAAGTTAGAAAATTATGAGTCATACAATCCCAATACTTCACCACATATGCTTTCATATCACATATATTTATGAGATTTTTGTTGTTGATATTGTCCTTCATGATTCGCCAAATATTTTCAATTGGGTTCAGGAGTGTAACATTTTGCTCGTTAAACCATTCCTGAGAATTCGTTGCTCTATGTCTTGGATCATTGTTTCGTTGGAATACCCAACCATCACAAGGCTAGCACTACAAAACCACACACGCACGCGCGCGCGTCGGTATGGAAGTGCAATTATCTTCTAGGTGATATCAAAACCCCATTTCACTCACCTCATCTTTAGTAAATGTGAATTTGGCGGTGCCGTTATTTTCTTTTGCAAAGAAATATATATATATCTAAAAAAATCTTGAATGAATCCATCTCAGAAAAGGAAACAGTCCAAATACAGACCAGCGGACATTATATAGGCGAGAATAACAACAACAACAGACAACAACACAAGAAAATGACAACTGCAAATTATTTTATTACAGGTAAATTCTTCAATCACATAGGTACTTCCGTAAACACGCACAACCCAACAAAACTTATACCATGCACATATTGACTGATCTGCTGCCAAAGTGTCTAAAGGGTTGATGACATTTTCTATTCGTCAGTGTTTCTCTTGGGGAGGCTCACGTCATCAGGAAACGTCATCAGCTGGGCCTAAATGTATGTTGGAGATTTTCCCCCGTTAGTCAGTTTGCAGCTGCATTATTTTCAAATGAAAAATATTTATAAATCACATCCAATATGAAAATAGTGATAACAAATTACTTGCTCTATCTAACTGACACTGCACACATCATTAAAAATATCAGTATATTTTTCACCAAAATACATTTAATTCTTGCAATGACGATTAAAACAAAACTGCTACGATTTCTTAACAATTTGTTGCTGTCATCTATCAGGAGTTTTAAGAATGGTAATCATACGGATTAATTCATCTGACAATATGATATTTGGCTCATTTGACAAAAGCGATGGCACTCGATGGACGCGTGGAAAGCAAATATTCTGTGCGATTCCTGGGTCGGTCAAAGTCGGAATGCAGCAAGGACGAAGAGAAGGAAGGAAGCTATGGCACTGTACACTCTCAGTGAAGAAGCTCCGGAACCTATACAGAATGAACACAACACATGATATAGAGAATAACTGTACACACAAGTCACATTAAATTGACGTATAAGAAGCATTATTTAAAAAATATTTTAATGTCCTCAGACAACGATGTAATTTATACAATATTTGACAGAATATTTGGATAAATGCACAGACATTCATTATACCCAATGATGTCACTTAGATTATTTTTCGGCCATTTGAAAGTCAGTGACGTGCTATGTACACGTAGTCGCTACTTTGCCTCATGTTATAAGTTGATGAAAATACCCATATATTCACTGACTATACTAAGAGTTCACATTGTGATAATCTGAATTTGACAGTTGTGGAAACGTCGACATGATCCTTCCTGGAGAAATTCAATATCACAAGGCCAATGAATTATCTGTCTCGATTATCTTTTGAAGCAAGCCCGTAAAAGGCAAATAAAATGATGAACATTGTATGAATGGATCACTAAACCAGTGATGACACCAGGTGTTCGCAAGAAGGTAAACATGTCCTCCTCTACCGGTAGTACCCGCCACATTGTTCAAGTAAGTGTGTTTTCCCTAACGTAGAAGACAGCAGTATTCTTGATGAAAAACATCAAGAATCAAATCTGGACCAGAAAATTCAGTCGTCAGTATCATGAGCCTTTATCCACGCTGTCAAACAAGTTGCCAATCCTGACCACCCGATCTTGACTCACCTGACCAGAGTGAATGGACACACCCTTATCTAAGGAACACGTGTCTGGTTTTACATGTATCTCATAACATAAATATGCTATCTATATGCGGATAACAAGAAAGTATCTTATTGTAATTACCGACTGCGATAGGATCAGGTGGTTACAATGTATGTCTTGCTCAGATTCGAGTATTCACATGCCGCCATGATATAGCTGTAATAATAGTCATTGCTGAGTAAAAATAAATTCAGTCCCTTACTTCACAAAAGGTATGAATAAAGGAACAAACGATTCTTTCATAATACTATAGTTAATCTGTCATAATCTGAGATATTAACTATATTAATATGAAAGAATCGGGTGTTCCTTAACTTTCTTTTGAGTAGTATATAAATATATTCAAAAACGTTACTTGTGAACGAGACCCGTGAAGATCCGGGGTAAATAGGTCTTCAGCAACCCACACTTGCCGTAAAAAGGCGACTATGCTTGTCGTAGGAGGCGACTAACGGGATCGGGTGGTCAGGCTTGCCGACTTGGTTGATGCATGTCATCGATCCCAATTGCTTGGATCAATGCTCATGATATCAATCACTGGATTATTTACAGACCGCCGTCATATAGCTGGAATATTGCTGACTGCGGCATTAAACAACAAACCAACCAACCATCGAACTTGAAACGAAAGTCTTCCCCGTTATCCAGCCACATAACTGTACCAGCTCACTTAAGCACAGGGCAATCTTGGCACAATGTAGTAATTTTGAACTTGATATTTTTACCTTTCTTGTCTGCTGGTGTTGGTGTAGGGCTACCTGGTGCGGTTGTTGTCGGACTACCTGCTGTTGTTTTGTAAAATAGTCGTTGATGTTAGTATTGTGTCCGAAATGATTATTCCCTATTCATATTTACATGAGTCTCATTTGGGCTCTGTTACATGCATTAATATGTACTGCACTCCGAATTACATTGAAATTATGGGATGAAATAATAGTTTATCGTTCTTACACCCAGTCATTTATGTAATTTTACTGCCTTGTCGCAATGACAAAGTAAATCATGCACTTGTTAACATTTTATGCTGATAGTATATGCTACAAAAACCTACGAATCTGGTACATTGACAGTGCTTCATATTAACAAAAACGAAATGTCACTACATATATATGAAGTATTGCGACAGCATTAATATCAGTCCCATGTGTCCTGTAGTAAATCTGGGGGAGGTGATTATGAAGAATGCAACCAAAATATTTCATCTATTTTTCTAATTAAAACAAGTAAACCTGGTAGTTTTCCTCTGTCTGAGTAATGCGAGGAATGTGCTTTGGATAACGTCTTTCTATCTTTAGCATGTCACTTAGCTCACAGATAAAATATTAGGTTTAAGGTTCAAATGTATTTGTACGTTGCAAGAAGTAGGCATTCCCATTTATGTCGACCAACATTCCTGCAGCTCCAGCCCTTGGTGGCTACATTTCACAACTTTTGAGGTACAATGGAGCATGCTCTTTCTTTGAAAGAACGGTGTAAGACTTCTGCCCCGAATTGGTGTGATCACGGTTACAACATTCAAGGCCTGAGTTTAGCTTTCAAAAAGTTTTATGGTAGACATTTCCATATGTGACGCATCAGTGACAAAAATCATGTCCGATGCAATTCCCTATTTTGACTTCAGGTGAATAAGTGAAAACGCTTTTTGAAAATGCAGATTCATATTGGATAATAAAGAAAGCCTCTCCCTTTTTCATATCAATGAGTCGATTACAGTTCCAAAATGCCGATACTTTTTGAAAGGGGTGTGTTAATTATTTCTGAGTGTTAGATTATATTATGAGAATACAGTACGAAACGGGGCTGCATATGGACCATTTATCCTGGAGATGTATGAATACAAGTGAGGCTATGGATTTTGCAAAAAGCTGCACTGAACGTGTGCAACTGATACTTACTGCACTTGGAATCCGACCTCCCCTGCGGTTTGGTAACTAGTGCAGAGGCGTGTGTGGTGAGACAGCCGATGTAGGTCTTCAGAGCCCTAAAACAACGTGATGGCTGTGAACACAGTAGTGTATAATAGTCTGCATTTTTTTTGTTTATTCCTACCCTGACGACACAAAATAAGACATACATAAACTGTTATACACATATTATTTTCATGTAAATATAGATTGGATATATTTATTTTTACATTGCTTGAACTTAAGTCCAAGAATGAAACCCTCTTATCATCTGGAGCTTACGCGCATTCCTTGTCACCAGTTAGATCCTTTACCCAGAAGTCTTTTTGGCATGTGTAAGGTGGGGCCAAATCTGGCTCTGAAATACAATTGGAATCCACTGTATATCTGTCTGCTACCACAATCTAAGACTACTCATCGAATCGTAATTATGATAAATAAGGAAAGAACAATTTCAGGATATTCTTACCTTATTGTGGGCGAAATTTTATTTTAAAATTTAGAACATTTCTATTACTACAGGGTTTCCTTGATTCAATGGTTACATCTGTTTCAGTGTTTGTTTTGTTTGTTTGTTTGTTGTTTAGCGTCGCACTCAGCAACATTCCAGCTATATGACTGCGTTCTGTTAATAATCGAGTTTGGACCAGACAATCCAGCGATTGACATCATAAGAAAAGACCGACGCATTTGGAATACGATGACATGCATTAAACCAGTCAGCGATCCTGACCACCCGATCCCGTTAGTCGCCCCTTACGACAAGCATAATCGCTTTTTATGAGAAGCATGGGTTACTGAAGACCTACTGTAACCCGGATCCTCTTTGGGACAAGGCATCTGTTTCAGTGCCATATCTCAAATTGGTCCCGGGTGATATGTAGGTATATGTTGCTACCATGAGTTTGGTTGTGTAAATTTACCAGAGATTGGGTTGATGCATGAACATAAGTTTCTTGGATATGGATGGACGATTAAAAACGCCACATGGATTGCTTTTGAGGTAATCTTGAAACAGGAGCCGGCTTTTGTATGCCAAAATTAAATCACCGTTGTGTTTGTTTATTGTTTAACAGCAATATTCCAGCTATATGGCGGCGATGGTGTAAATAATCAACACTTCAACAGAGAATCCAGTAATTGACATCATGATCATCGATCTACCGTACTTGGATACGATGACATGCACCAACGAAGTCAGGGAGCCTGACCACCCGATCTCTTTAGTTTCCATTTACAAGCATAGATTGCAGAGACCAATTTGCGGGGCCAATCGGCGTTATCAGATACGATCGTATGTAGATCGAACATCTAGTAACTTAAAGGCACTATTTCCCCATTTGAAATAAGAAATGTACTTATAACTAAATGTTGCCCACTGCAGCTTCATCGCCGCTAGTACCAAGAAACTCGAAAATACTTTGTCAAGGTAGAATGACGCAAAACCCATTCTATTTTGCATGTGAGCGGTGTCACCTGCATTCACTTCAATTTTAATCGGAATGGAACGCGCAGTTATATATATCTATTGATTATTTATCTGTTTATCAGTTTATGATCACAGTTACTTTACCACTAAGTATATTATATTAGCAGTATTTTACATGATGTGTATTGTTTGATCATATAACCATTTAGATTGATTAATTGATGTGATTTTACTTCAAGGTATAGATTAAGACAAAAGAAAGCAAATGCTTTAAAAACGTGTCCATTGTATCAAAATGTATTTCATCTAATACATCATGCGTTGTGGAACTTAGATCACACCAATGCGTAAAATGCCGTTGTCTTTACAATACAAATTTCATAATTAGGAATTTAACTACAATAAAAACTTGAATTGACATGAATAATCTCTAACCAGCCATTCGTCATGTTAGTACGTATAATCTTCAAGAACTAATTCATAAATTAAATTATACAAATAAAGGGGCCTATGCAGGCGAATAATTAACGTAATACGAACGATAGGGAACTAAGGCTTACTGCAAGTAGCGGCTGTGAATTTCGTGACATCTGCTGCTGAAAGTGTGCAACCTTCTTTGGTTCCCGCAGCAGTTTCGAGACAATCAAGGTACGTTTTCAACTTTCTGCAAAGTATGGATAAATATTTTATGTAAACGTTCCGAAATATGTGAATGATATGATCATTTTTTAGGGCCACCATCAGAACTATTCCCGCCATATCGTGTGCACGAACAACAACGAACGCTGTCGGGGCATGATGTTACACAATAAACCAAGTCACCCAATCTGATCATAATTACCATAGCCTTTCAAGTCGACTCTTATGATAAGACATGCATGCTATATATCACACTCATTTTTGATGTTCCATTGTTACTCAAAAACATTTAACATTTATATTTGAAGGCAGATACAGACGGGGGTTGTCCACAATCGTTTAGTTTTCTGTTTATATATCTCATTTGTCATAAACATTTAATAGGTTTTGAGTATTGAGGTGGAATTTACTTACGCACAGGTCGTATCTGGAGCTGAGTCGTATGTGCAGGCAGGACAGTCAGCAGCAACCTGAACCCTGATAAGTGTTGCTACGAAGAAGCCTGAAAGAACATGTGCCTCTAAAATATCATGATGATCAAATTTCAAGCCCATTCACATATTATCTTTATTCGTGAAAACTTAGTGACCATAAACATTTACGATTTACAGCAATATTTTACTTTAAACCTTAGGACTTGCTATTTTAGGCTGGGACTGGACCGGAACTGGAAGTGGTTTCCAGAGATAACGTTTGTAAACAGACTGATGTGACCACATCCAGAGAACATTTAGAAACAACGTATAAAATGTTATTTATGTAAAGTGCTAAGTATTTAGAAGAACGGGTCCTTTTAGTCCTAAAAGTATATGTTGTTTCGATACTTAATGATTGAACAAGGTTGGTAACGTTCAAAATTTATGGGAGTCCGACAACTTCAACACATTCTCAGGGTGGTTGGGTAGCATTGTGGTTAAAGCGTTAGCTCGTCACGCCGAAAACCCGGGTTCGATTCCCGACATAGGTACAATGCGTGAAGCCAATTTCTGTCTCCCTCCGTGATATTGCTCGAATATTGCTCAAAGCGGCGTAAGACTTCACTCACTCACTTCAACACATTCTCAAATACAAAACGATTTCTGGTTTATGAAAGTATTGCTTCTGACACATAATGTGACTTAGTTCCGTTATATTGTAATACCTACTTAAAGTATGTGTAATCATACAAAAATGATATTGCATGTTTGAATGGCAAACGAGCTGTTATAACTTGAATCTATGCAATATACAAAAGCAAATTTAAATCTCAATCTCCAGCCAGATGCATAGACCAAGCGTTATTAAGTATGTTATAAATATTGTGCTTGACCAAACACAAAACTGACAAAGACATTATTCACATAGAGAAGCCAGATAAAGGAACACGTCGCATAAAGCATAAAGACGTTGATTCCCATTTATGTTAAGATCAGATAATACACATGTAACTTACAAATGAGGAACGATAATGTCATCATTTTCCACATCTTGATGAACCTTGGTTTCTCTACCCGTGTCTTGGCTAGCTCCTTGGACTCCCACACTTCAAAGCTGGGCGTCTTGCTGCTTTTATAGGGTGTGTTCCCATGGTGTCTTCTGTTGTCAACAACGCAGATATGGGGCGGGACCTACGTGAATACACTTGACAGCATGATCCACGTACATTTACAACCTTTCGAACGAACACAAGACTTTTTATGCTTTCACGAATTTGTTTATCCCTGCAATTTTGTAGCACATACTCAACAGCCCTTTTTTCAAAGTCACGTACGACCGAGGATTGCGTGTACTACCATGTCGACAGAACCATATACTGATTCTCAACTATCCTATTCATGACTTGGATAGAAAATATCCGATTTTGTGATTTTGAATGAATTTGAAAATGTTCGAATCTTTAGTGTTATTTTTTTTGCACCAGAAATGTTTATCTGCGTTTGTTGATTATAGCATAAAAAAAAATATTTCTAAACTTCTTGTGTCTATTTTCTTGTGACCTCGTTGTATATACATTTTTGTTATTGTTGTATACTAATATTTATAAGTACACAAGGGGCGGTCGGGTAGCCATCACACCGAAGACCCACGTTGGATTCCCGACATGAATACAATGTGTGAAGCCCATTTCTGGTGTCCCCCGCCGTGATATTGCTGGAATATTACTATAGGCGGCGTAAAACCATCCTCACTCACTCAGTATAAATACACCCATTGTTATTATACAGTTGGTAATAAGTCTTCAGCAACCCATGCTTGCCATAAAAGGCGACTTTTCTTGTTGTAAGAAGCGATTAACGAGATCGGGTGGCCAGACTCGCTGACTTGGTTGATACATGTCATCGTATCCCAATTGCGTGGATCGATGCTCATGATGTCAGTCACTGGATTGTCTGGTCCAAACAACCGTCATAAAGCTGGAATATTGCTGAGTGCGGTAGTATGTTATTTTCCATGTCTGGATTCGTCTGTGTTGTTAAACCGCAGCACAGGATTGGTACATGTATGACAAATTGATCTCAAGAACACTTGCGGTTACTTCAGGTACACTTTCGCTTTATATAATTATTCAAATATTTAAGCGTCAAACTACATCTCGTGAACAATCTCTGTTCAATTTCCATGTTGCGTTTTGTCATCCCCCACCAAACTCAGTTTCACTCGAGATCAACCGGACTCTGATCACTTAAAGCCATCTTCCCGGGGCAAGGGTATTCACTAGCATATATGAAGGATTAGTTTCCACCTTAGCCATTTCAAGCCTACTTTTGTTTGGCTCGATCGTGGCGCCACCCCGTGTAGAATAGGAGTTGTGTCCCTTGTGATAAAAACGTGATATCTGATCAGATTTCTCTTGTTAAATTATGTTTGCTTTTAAATATGACTTTGTAATTATGACGCAAATGTATATATAAACTGACGGCCAAACGAAACGTCACCATAGTTTTAAAACACGTTTGTTACGAACTCAAAGGGAGCACTAATTCCAGAACGTTATAATAGTAGCTCGTTTCAAGCATATATACCTCATATCTACAGCAATTGGCCGGGACCAAAAATAAAGTTCGTTATAAGCGTGTTCGTATTAAGCGTATTTTACTGTAGTTTAAAAAACACAAAAGATAGATGCAAGAAGTAAAATGTATTGAAAAGATCAAAATCACAACGAAATCAATATTTAAAATTACAGTCATACAGCATCCGATATTGGCATGACAATTGCACGAATTGAGCTGCGGTTGCAAAAACAAGCTTTCAACGTTATGTACAAAGGGTACACAAATCTGAAATCTCACAAGTTTAATGAGATGCCACACGCACGGCGCACGGAAAAGTCATTCGTCTGATGACGTCACGTGGGATACGTCGCCATTATCTTGAAGGCGTTCTATTGGGGACATGGCTGACTTTGTATGCTGGCGATTAGATGCCTCACTCTGAGAGTTTGGGTTCGAATCCCGGATGTGACTCAACCCCAAAGAGTACCAGAATTTGTACTTCACTAAGAAAATATGAACCCAAATAAAACGTTTGTTAGAAAAACTTTAAGCAGTGCCTGTATTTATTTCAGAATGTCTTTCGACTCGGCGGGGCAGGTGTATCCATGTGTTGAGAGGGGTTTGCATCCAGTTTCATTTCACTGTTGTTTTGAATATCTCTTCACCATGTATCTCCTATGACCAGGCCGTTTTACGCGGCAGGCGTTTATTATCCCCTGCCACGTAGTGGGGAGGTGCATATTGGAAGGAAGTTCGTCCATTCGTCCGTCCGTCTTTCCCTCCGTCCGCTTCTCAATATGGACAAATTTTCTCAAAAACTATTCAAGCTTGAGAAATTAAATTTTACATACTAATACAACTGGTCACGATCTCCAGAGAATATTAAATTTAATTCTAAAGTGCCCCATGGGGGGTGGTGGTGGGGGCGGGGGTGGGGGTAGGGTGGGGTGGGTGGGGTGTGTAGTGATAACGCTGTTTACTTGTTCAAGGGTATAACGAAGGTGAAAAAGGGGCAGAGGATAACCCATTAGGTCTATATTTATTAGTAAAAATTGGTTACACATTTGGTTAGTAAAATGCGAACTACTGACCAAACCCGGGGTTATTCAATCACTTTAGTTTAGCCTTAAACGTCTATATATTTGTGATGTTTTGGTCAAATCACATTTTTATGAGTATACTTTATTTTACTCGGCAGTTTAATAAACAGTATAGTCTAGATGGTGGTGCTGTTGGACCTAATGATCCAAATGAATCTTCTGTTTATCTCGCTGCCTCAAGTAATCAACTGCACATCTGACACCATCCCTTGGTGAAATTACAAAATAAAGGAAAAGATAATGAGATTGGAAAACCGAAGTCGAGCCCAAATATCCACATATGATAAATATATTTTTATATTGTCTTAAATTTTATCTAATTTCAAATACCGTCAAAAGATATGACCCTTTACCATGTAGGAAATTTAAATAAACAAACAAACAAACAAACACACAGACAACGTCTACTAATCACGATATATACTTATGATTAGTAGACATTATGTCACGCTTCCATAGATATATTCATGAGTGTACAGTGTCACAGTTATGTGTTGATGAACTCCGTGATAGGAAGCGAAATTTAATAGGTACGGTTTATCCACCAGCCAATTATATTCTTAAATTTACACACACAAAATATTTTATGTAGTAAGTATGTAGGATGTTATATTTAATCCCTGATTGAATTTATTTATTTTCTATGTACATTTAAAGTTCCTTCAGCTAAACATTTAACATATAACACGTTTCTATTTCTAAACGAACGTTCAAGTAGATCTTTGATCAAAGCGTGTAATGGGTGACGAATGAGTGAGTTTAGTTTAACGCTGCTTTGAATAATATATCAGGTACAAGTCTAGCTATTTGTTCCTCGTAAAATTATGAACAAAGGCTGGGAACATCCAAAATTAATTCAGTAGAGAGAGATCACCCTTAATCCTTTAGAGATGGTAGTGTATTCTCTATTTTACATAATAGTTAACTAATGTATTTACTTTGAATGTCACATATGCATATTCAACCTGTATAAACTGCTACGTGCTTTATCGAGCCTACGTGCGCTATGTGTAATCCCTATAAAAATACTTGTATTAATAGAACCTGGTAAACTATTGAACATGTGTTTGTGTTGCACTTGCTGAGATCCAAGGATTACAATGTGTACTTCCTTAAGACGGTTGTGCATAACGCTGTCAGGCTTTTACGAACGTGTAACAAATTCTTATGGTGTCAAGTATTGCTTGTTAGAGAGTCAACAGAGATTATAGATGGTGCCTCCCAACTAACGTAACATTGTAACTGTCAGTTATAAATAAAAAGTGCACAAAGTGGTTTCAGAGATTATATATTGATGTTGCTATCGTTGTGTTCATACCAACAGGTGTCAATAATTCGTGCGCTTAAGCATCAACTATATATGAATAGGTATCGTGACTCGACCTCTATCCATGATCTGTAAGCCCCAAATCGTGCTCGTGGATTTCACGGAATTGATAAATCGGCGTCATTATAGGCTTTCCTTCCGCATTGCGTTAAAGCCCCAAATCACCCCCAGAAAAAAAATAAAAAATAACTTAAACTTTAATAAAAGTGCAAAATTGTGTCAGATGTAGACATTCCAGACAGTCAAAACTAATGATGTTCGCATATTGAATGTGTCACGTTGCGCTCAATCATGATTTGGGGTGGGATCAGTAGAGCTGGAAGTACCGAACTCTGTGACCTACAGTGAGGCACGGTACTGTTGGGCGCTACAGGGACGACATTCTGGACCGCACTTCATCCATTTGGATCGTAACACACGACCTCATCGTGCCAGGGCCGTTGGTGCTACTGAAAGTATAAGACCAATTGTCCGCATGGAGTGGCCAGCCCGGTAACCATTTAAGCCTATCGAACAAATGTGGAATGAACTGCAGTTTAGCCTGTCATGACGCCATGTCCTTCAGGCAACTTTACATGTACGGGAACTCGGCAATGCTCTTATTGAAGAGTGGATTAATCTTCCTTAGGCAAAAATCTATACACTTATTGGGAGCATGAGACGACGGTGCCAGGCTGGGATCGCATCACATGGATCACAAACTCGCTACTGAGAGTTGTTTTCCAGGGACAATGAATTTGCTTGCAAGATTTTTTTCGTTTAAGTTTTGGTCAGATACTCTCATTTTGACTGAATTGACTGATTATTGGTCAAATGGTGCTTGTTGGCATTGTTTGGCAAATGGCAACGGACTTTTGGTAATGAAAACATGACTTTTAGCAATATTGTTTTCGGCCAGTTCAACACCTGTGCACAGTTTGACGTATTGCCTTTTAAAGTGGCGATCCTTTACAAACTTTGAGTAGTATACTTCTCAAATGGCGATAAGGGTTGCAGTTGTGCCCAATCTCGTTTTTTTGACTGTACAATATGTTAAACTAAACTCCAAGATGGTGCTCTGCTTTGAAAGCTAATGGCCAATTTCAGTTTCTGAGATACATCTCCAGGCATATTCATATGTTTCCTACCACATCAAACGTCAGTTGCATTAATAACAGGTGCAGATGATCAAAGCGTTGCCAAGCTAAAATGTTCATGACAAATATCCTGACTG